ACGAAAAAAAAATTAAAGTTTATGTACTCATTAAAAAAATATAAAATTATATTTGGTATTCTAATGGCAACATACGAGTTATCAATTAACAAAATTTTAACAAAAGTACTTATTTGATAGTTTTAACAAAAATTAAAATTCATATATTGGATTGAGAAAAAATTAGAAATCGATATACTCGTAATACAATTATCTTTATATCAATTAATATACAAACCTCGCTTTACTTGATGTTTAGTACCATCATGAGCTTAAAAAAAAAAAAAAAAAAAAAAAGAGATAGATAATAGTAGAGTATGTGTATACACCATCATGACAAATTATGAACGAGAATGGTTACCAAACCCGGGTTTAATACCAAAATCCAATCGAATAGTAGAGTTTTTTTTTGTTAGATAATAGTTATAGTTTATAATAGAATGATTAGTTTAGCTATGGTTATAATTTTCATGACTATTGAATCGAAAATCCAATCATAATCGAACTAGAAAAAAAATAGTATTGTTTTTATATATGTTTTGTATAAGTATTTAAATGTGACAGTTATATCATTGATTATTGAGAGTTAGTTTCGTATTTATTTTTCATTATTAGTAGGTTATCTATAATTATTTGGAATTGTTAAATTTATTTGTTCGTTTGTTAAAACATGGATGGTCAATGGTTAAGTAAAAGATCATCTATGGTTATGCAAAATTCATAACTTATGCTTATGATAATAATTATTGCTTTTTTTTTTTTTTGTTATGGCTATGGTTAATGTCTAAAACCGTAGCTATGATTAACCACTAACATTTCTAATCAAAATGCAAACCAAAAAAAGAAGAAAATAATTTTTTTTTTATAATCAAATATGTAAACAACGAAGGGTGCATAGTGAATGTGTAACGATCGCAAAAATCCCGAACCGTAAAACGACACGTAGTAGACTATTTATATATCTACATATATAATTCTCATTACACCATGAGAAAATTAATGCTTGAAATATGTGATTTATGTTAAATTAAATTTATTGTGCTTGAGATTAATGGTTTAACTATTAAAGAAATCAAATATGGAAACTCGGTGTTTTAATTACTATATTCCGTCCGAATGTTTTATGATTTATTTGAGGACTTTAGAGTGATTTATAGATAAAACTTAAAGAATAAAAGTTGTTCTTCTATGTGTCTACTATCTCTCTATAAAATATTGTGATTTTTAGATATATATATATATGGAGTTATGACCGTTTTAGTACAAGTTGGTCTTGAGGCATCATTGCTTGGAATATTTTAGGGAAAGGAATTTTCGAGTTTGAGAGGGAGAATTTTGAAAAATTTATAACGAAAAGGTGTTTTGTTACCTAAACTAAACTAGCTTAAACATTTAGTTAGGACACCTAAACCCTCCTAATTAATGAATTAAAGCCGACTCGCTCCCAAGCCTCTCAAATCGCCGACTCTCTCTAATGACTCACCAAGTACTTTCTACCTTGGCCAATTGATTCAAGGCAATTGTAAAGGGGGGAAAGGGAAGTATATAAGGGAAATAGAGGGTTAAATGGCTGCGATTTTTAGGCCAAAAATCGTAGCTCTTCTAGAAAAAAAGAGCGACCTAATTGAAGAGAGAAAAACGTAAGAAAGAGAGAAAAGAGAGGAAAGAAAGAAAGAAGGAAATGAAAGGAAAAGCTAAGGAAAAAGTCATACTCAAATCCATCTAAGTAAGTGGGTTTTCTTTATTGCTTTATGCCATGCAATTGATGTTATTATAAATGGTTAAGCTTGTGTTTTGTGTTGTGATGTGTTTGTTGATTTGATTATGTTGGTTAGGTTATTCCATGATTGATAATTGACAATGGTTTGATTGTGATAGTTAGTTATATGATTATTTGGTGAGTTTTGATTGTTTTGTATCTAGTAGATCCATGTATGGACGAGTATGATTAATGGATTTGGTTGACCTAAAACATGATGGGTGAAATTGGGACATATATGGACTTGAATAAACATGAAGTAAAAAGGAAGAAAAATGAAACTTTACGGTTTTCATGAATAAAATTTCGAGCGTAAGATTACACGACCTCTCACACGGGCGTATCCTTGCCCGTGTAATGACAAAATGTGTTTCTCTTAGAGGCAAAAAGTTACACGACCTTTCACACGGACGTGTCTTTGCCCGAGTAATGAAGAAATATGTTTTCTTCAAGTCGGAGAGTTACACGACCTCTCACACGGATGTGTCCTTACCCGTGTAATGACTAAATGTGTTTTTCTTCGAGGCGAGAGAGTTACACGGCCTCCCACACGGGCGTGTCTTTGGCCATGTAATGAAGAAATGTGTTTTCTTCAAGTCGGAGAGTTACACGACCTCTCACACGGGTGTGTCCCCGCCCGTGTATTTCACTCGGTCACTTAAAAGTCACCCTTTTTGTTCCATACTTGTTCGGTTTCCATTCCTTTCACCAAGATAACGTAATAAATGATTAATTAGGCTCAAATAGATAGATAATGAAAAAATATACTTTAATATATTTAAAAATTGATGTAAATACGAGTAATTATGCAACTCAAGAATACAATGACTTAACGATTTAAGTTACTAAAGAAAAGAAAAGAGAAGTATTTACACACATAATTAGACCCATCACTCAACCAATACCATATGTCGGTATTTCATTCTAACAAGGGGGAAACATGATGATAAGGGGCATAATTATGTTATGTTGTGTTGTGTTGATGTGATAGTATTGTTATGCTTGGTTGGGATATGACTGTTTGGTAATATGGAATAGATAAGGATGGTTGGTTAAATTGTTAAAGCTTGAGAAAACTTGTGTCGGTTGGATCTATGAAAATATTTCATGATGATAAGGGGTAGGATTATGCTCGAAACCCGGTGTGGGTTGGACCTATGAGAATATATGAAATTGAATCATGTATGGGTTGCATATATTTAATATGGTATGCATCACATCACATGCATCATGTGCATTGTGGGGACAAATGGAGAAAAGTAACTTGACCGAGAATTGGTTTACAAGATTGGGTTTGATAACCTAACTTGGAATAAATGGGTATTAGCAGTCTAGTCGTGTGCGTATTCTAAGTTGTGTGCCCGCACTATTAAACAATGATTTTCACTAACGATGGCTACAACGAGGGATAATTCCGTTGTAGCATAAGGTGATTTGAGGATCATCTGGATTAAAAATAGAGTAGACTTGTTAATACTCAAGATACCCGAAATTAAAAATTGATGAGTATGGTCGGGGAGTCAAAACGAGCATTGCATGTCACGTGCATCACCCCACTTACCGAGCTTCGGCTCACCTCATTGTTATTTGCATGCTATGACGAGTATCGATGATCGTAATACCGATAAGGATGCTGCTGGATCCTCCAAAAGGGCTCGGGGGTGACACCTACTTTAGGGAATTTTATTTAATTGTAATTCGATGTTGGGGTGTCTATAGATATTTGAATGACACTATAAATAAATTTTATAATTTCTTTTATCGTGAATATTCTTGTAATGTATTTTTGTATTACACATATCTCTATATGTAGTATATTATTATGGTACCGAGCATGGACGTAGTAAGACTTAGGTCGGATTGGATGTGTTAGCGTGACGCGCCTCGCCCGGTCACTCCTAGTTGGGTAACAGAGAGTGAACTAGGGTGGGGGTGTCACGTAATGTGAGTACCAAACATCTATGCTCGAGATTAAAAACTTTCATCTACTTAATATTGTATAAATTGTATAATAATAAAAGAAACATGATAAAAAATATTGTGATACCATTAAAAACAATGCGGAGTAGGAATAACAATTTATGAAGTAGAAATACGCAACATCATAAAATTAATTCTCAAGATTTCATTTTACTTTTTGTGGTTTCTCATGTTAATATTTTCAATGGGAAATAATCAAGGCGAGAAATAATACATCTTAAGCAATCATCAAACCTCCCTTCGTGATTGCATGATTTTAATTTGTTAAATAATTTTGTGACTGCGTTTTTCTCATGCATTACACACACAGAATTCACTTCATCTGTTACTACTTTACTAGCAATTTCCGTATGTGGCCTGTGGGGCAATATCTACTTTGCTTTCATAAACGGTTCTTACATTCTATATTTGCAAGAAAGCATTAACTTGGGAAAAAAAATGAAGAATTCATAGAAATTCAACAACAACAACAATAATATTTTTTCAAAAAATTTATTATAATAATAATAATTTTTCCAAAAAATTTATTATGTCAACTTTAGGTTTTTTTTTTAATTTTTTTTAAATTTATATAAATACATTAAATGATAAAGGAAAGAAAAAACAAAAAAACCAACAAGATCAACAGTCAGAAGTCAAGTGTTGCTTAATTATATAATTAATTTAACGTTGTCATTTAAATCACTAATTTTGTTCATAGTAAACAAATTGATTCCATCCATAAACTTAATTAATACTTAAATTAATACATAAATCCAATTGAACAATTGTTTATAATAAAAAAACGGTAACAAGCATTAACTCCCATACTAATCTCCCATATAGATTTTTTGTATGAAAGGAAATGATATTAGTAGAGGTGCTATTAATACAAATTATTAGTAAATGGAAAAAGCTGAACCAAATCCATATAGTATTTGCTGCATTAACCCCTTCCGTAAACTTCCACTTTGACAGCATGGAAAACACGCGCCCACAATGGAGCGTTTAATTAAAATGTACTGTAGCAGGGAGCAGTATAGCGTAGATAACCTGAAAAATAAAAAAAAATTTGATCTTACCTTCTCTAAACCCTGAAGCAGTGCCTTTCTCTTCCTTGGTTTTCAAGTCAAAACAACACAAACCCTACTCTCTCTACCGCCCCTCCTCTCTCTTACTTCACCAAACATAACCACAAAAACAAAGAAATCACCCACATCTATTCTTTTCTCTGCCTACCAGTCACTCCACCTAGAGAGAAAGAAAATCAAACCAAATTGGAAAAGAGACCAAGAAAAGAAAAATGAAGATAAAGAACAAAGGTAAAGTTTACCCTTCTCCATCATCATCATCATCGTCGTCGTCATCATCTTCTTCTGCTGTTGGTGATAATAGAGATATAGATGTTCTTTCTGTGTTAACGCTGTTACCTGTTGCCATTCTTGCTTTAGCTTCTGTTCTTTCACTTGAAGACCGTGAAGTTCTTGCTTATATGATTACTAGGTCCTTAAAAACCACTACCACAACCAACCCATCTTCTTTCCTTCAAGTTTCCAAGAAAAATCCTCCAAGAAACCACAAACCTTCACTAATACCCAGAATATTAACCATAAAGCTCCTATCTTTGATTGTGGTTGCTTTGACTGCTATAGAAGCTACTGGTTCAGGTGGGATTCTTCTCCTAACCGTGAACTCATTCATCAAGCTATTGAAGCCTTCGAAGAACACTTGAACAATGGCGAAATGCCAAGGAAAAATACCAGAGGTAAGAGAAGAGACAAGTCGGGTCGTCGGGTCGGTGAAAAGTCGGTTCTTGATGTTCCGGGTCAACCCGAAATGTTACCGGTTCTGGAAACCATTGATGCGACCACACACGAATCCTCCCCTTCTTGTTCTGGTGCTGATATTATTAATGTCAATGTTGGTTGTCCGGATAATGGCTTATCCCCTGAGAAAGTGGATGAGAGGGAGGAAATGGAGGAGGCGGTTAAGCTTTATGATGAAGTGCCTGAGGAGGTGCTGGCCGCGGAAAAGGCGGTGGCGGTTCCTGGGGTGGCGGTGGGTAGTCACCACAAGGGTTTGGCAAGGAAGGTATTGCCGGATGTGTTAGGGTTACTAAATTCTCGTTTATGGAGTCTTTGGAGTCCAAATGTGTAAGTTCCCAAAAATAAAAGGAGATTTATTATAATTATAATTTCCTTTTGTTTTCTTTTTTTCGAGAAATTTAGAAAAGAAATGGTATATTTTTATTTTTGGTGCGTAGAATATTATCGGCAAGATGGTCCCTCCCAATGGAAACTATTTATTAAGCGGCTCTCTCTTTTTTCGTTATCATTAATTAGTGATATTGCCGGCACGAAGTCATTTTCTCGGCAAGGAAGTTGTTTGGCTGTTTTCCGAGAAAAATTGTTTATAATCGTTTTGATTTGGATGGATTGATTTTCTTGCTTAGGAACCAAGCCATTGTGATTAGGTGAAAGATAGTTTCTTGGGGGTGGGCCAATAAAATGTGTGTTTTTTTAGCTACATAGTGGAGGATATATAGACTCTGCTATTCTATCTTGTATGTATACATAAACTGGGATCTAGGGGAATGCATGAAACAAGAAATTTGCTTTATTTTATTCGGTGCTCCACTTTTCTGAATGTCATTATGTCAATGGATGTGGTTTTCTATGCTTTCTTTTGATTCCTTTTGGCCGGGAATCCTTCCAAGTAATAATGTCTTTTAATTGTTCTCTCTCTTAGTTTATTGCTTTTCTCAGTCCACTAATTTGGGTTTTGGGCGGTGTTCTAAGTCGATTTGATTTTGGGGTTACCCTAAGAAAAGAGGAAAGCCCAAAACAGCCCTTCATCCTCTAGTATTGTTAGGTTTACTTGTGTGGATAATTTAGGAGGTGAGAGTAAGGATCCTTGTGATGTCAAAAGTAGGTGAACTGTAGAATTTGAGGTCAAATGGAGTTGTAATTGTAAAGCAGGTGATGGGCTATCTTTGCTTGCGATGATGACTTATTATCATCCTCTTGGTTTCGGCCGTGCTCGAATGCTCTTGTGTTTCATTTATTGGTGCAATAATGGATCGGGACCCTATGAGATTGCTTACATTATTGTCGTTTGCGTTGGGCGCTTTATTTTGTTGGGGGCCATGAGGGGCTGAATGGTATGTCTGTCTACCCTATGACCCAAATTATATGACCTGATATTCATGTTATATTAGTATTTATTTATTTATATTTTTATAAAACTTTTTTTTTTTGACAATTATATTTGAACAATTTTTTACAATATTATCTTTAATGAGCGGTATTTTTAAATAGCATATCACTTAAAGTTTTGAATAAATAAAAAAGTTAGGCAATCTTGTTAGAACATAGGGAGTAACTAATAAGCACTGCTGATTTGCTTTTCTATACACAGGTTTTAATGGATAAGTTTAACGAAAGATTAAAATACTCATAACCCTTGTTGACCTTGAAATTTTGGCAGGTCTAATGACTGGGAAATGAAATACATATAAAAAGACTTCATATAACAGCACATTGCATGTTTTGGTACTGGAATCTAATTGCATATTTTACAAGGAGGGTTCTTTGATGACTAACAATCCAATTTACAGAACAGCTGTTCGTCATAACTGAATTTGTGAACCAATCAGCCACCCTATTTCCTAATTAATTTACTTTTTTAAAACACAATTGATTCTAAAGTATTGTTAGAGCCCAAAGAACCAGTATATTAATAGTATTGTTTAGTTTCACGAGGAAGTAAATGACAGCTTAGAACTTATAATAACAATCGTATCTGCAACAGGTTAAGAGGGCAGGTACAAATTAAGGTATACTAAAAAAAACCCAAAATTTTAAAAAATAAGAAATAAAAATTGAGTCCATAAAGTAAGTACCTTTATGGCATCCAAAGACAGCGACTCGTGAATCTGTAGTACCTAAGTTAATATCAATTACTTCTTTGCTTTTAATATTTACACATCGAAAAGAAAAGTTTTTAGAAAACGTAAAAAACAAAAAAACAACCAGAAAGCTCTTGCAGGACTGACATATTTCTTCAAATACGAACAATACTGTGGATTTAAGAAAAAAAGCCATTAAAAATTGTAATAGGCGTTGTTTATATATATATATACACACACAAAAAGAAAATTGCTTTTTCATTTTTAATCCTACTTCTGTGCTCTTGGACTTGGCAGTAGTGACACAATTAGCTCAAAGGTCAAAAAGACAACTTAAGAACATAGGTAATGACGAGCTGAGGTTGTCCTTTAGGACGATTGCTGAATGCTAAACAAGCCTTTGTCCATGTTTAGGTCCAAGTTGTTAGGGGCATATTATGGGTTGGGTCCCATCATCTGCGAGGAGAAACACAATGGCCCAATCAAAATTTCTAGTGGCGGTGATAGAATTGTCTCTTTGCACTTTGTTTGCTTCGTATTCTGACAGAAGTGCTAGCTAAAGCTAAAACAGTTCTGGTGAGGGAGGGGAAAGCAAAGGACATAGCTCTTATCTGTTGGCTTGAACCTTCATCCTGCTAAATTTCGCGTCACTTGTTATTTTATAAGTTTTTTATTTCCCCTCTTCAATTGCCTATAAGGCCCCCCCCCCCCCCCCCCCCCCCCCTTTTTTTTTTTTTTTTTTTCTAGGTCGTATTACACATTTAAACATAGCAAATGCCTTTTTTCTTGTCACATGAATCTTGACCTAAATCATAATTTTTTAGTTATTTTATTGGGATTATACTTTATACTACTAGAGTCTTGGTTTACGTATTAGTACAATTTATTTTAAAAAATTAAATTATTTCCGAAGAACCATGTTTTATGTTGCATTCATATTTTGCAGTTCAACGTCGTTTAGCCAAATGTTGAATTGCAAGGAAATGAAGGGATCCACTTTTTTTTTTCCAAAAATCTTTCACAATCCGTTAGAAGAAAGAAATGTTTGATGAATAACATGTGATACGGACCATGTGTTTGGCTCAGGGACGCTAATCGCCTCACCATGACATAGTTCTTCTTGACCAGTAAGACGCCGTAAATCTAACAGAACTGTAGTCGGCCGTTCTTTTCCCTTGTAGCCAGAATTAGGTGGTTTGGAATTGTAGTTGATTTTTGCTGGGCCAGTCTTCATTTCTTAAATTTGAAAATTGCCCGCCCATGCCATACAAATAAGATTGGGCTACATTCAATCCTTTTTGGTCGACCTGATTTAAACCCACTTGATGCAGTAGCAAGTCTAGGAAAGTAAAATGGATAAATACTTATATAATACTCAAAATCTTTCATATATCTTTATATCTTATTTATTTTTAAAAATATTAAAAATATTTAATCTGTATTTTTATTAATTTTTTCGGCCATATAATTTATTTAATCAAAATTCTTTTGATTGAGATAAAAAATAAAATTTTTTTTAAAGATTTAAAAAATAAAACATACAAGTCATGTGATTTTAAATATATATTTTTCTTCATTTTAGTAAAAAGCATTTCAGTTAATTTTTTCCATAGCCGTAAAATTTAATTTAATGAATCAATTGAACATTTTAAAATTTTCACAGACAGATGGGATGCCATTAAAAATGTAAAAATATATAAAGATTTTGAATATTATATAAGTACAAATTATATATTTATACTATTAAAAATGAAGAATTCTATTTTCTGTCTTTAATAATTGAAAATGTTGTCCTTTTCGGACATCTCATTGTGTGGGAATGGTATACAGGCTACAAGGAGATCAACACTGTGTCTGTAAAAAAAAAGAAAAGAAAAAAAATAAAAGGTATTTGTACAAGGATCACATATATAAATAGAGAAAAAAATAATTTAAATGTTAGTCTTATGAGAAGCAAAGTTAAAGCATCAAAAGGAGCTTACAATATTTTATTTCTATTCTATATGCAATGATGCTCCTAATTGCCAGAAAACACTAGTAGTTTTCAGGATGCCAAGCATTAAGCTGGGATAAGCCACGTAATAGGTTGGAAATTATTAAAATCTTTGGCTTCACATCTGATACTAAAACTAATTATCTATGGAATTCTTTCCTTGTGGTTATGAATAAAAGAATCATCTACAGGAAGATGAAAGATTATGGAAGACGCAGAAAGAAACCACAAGAATATTCTTCGTAATTAGCTTAATGCTCTTTTCAGTTGAAGGCATAAAATTCCCTTGAGTCCATGATTTCAGGTTCATCATACATTTGGTTTAAAATTACAAAATCATAATTATTGCATCATAAGATAAAATAAATGTCATATATTTAGAGCCGACCTAAAGTGATCTGACAGCTAATGGGTGCCCAAAAAGCAATCGGTGGCCTGACGTCAAACCCTGCCCCGTTTCTATGTGGCATGTAAGCCTAATTGAGTCTAGTTGTTTCCCGAATGTCAAGCTATATTTTTAACGGGTTCCTCTTGGCTCTCTTCAATTTGACTCAGAGGCATTCACTTGTTATGTAGTGATTCTTTAATAACTAAGCTTGTTGGACTTATATTAGTAGCATTGATTTCAGGAGTGAATAAAAAGGAAACTTTTGATGCATATAAAATAATAGACGATTGCACTTTTGGACAAGTTTCCTTTGATTCTTGAACTTGTTAAAAACCTGTCAGTCGTTACATTTCTAAATCCATGAACCTTGAATCAAATGACAAAAGAGTAGGTTAATTTGGATATTGATCAGGAAGGGATGGATTAAGCCTAGTAACATTTTCGTGCCTTGCCTAAATTATGTTTAGAAACGATAAGTAATATATGTAAACCATGTCTGGCATTATTCCTGATATTTTTAATACCCTAATCCTCAACTTCACCACTGCCAAAATGTAAGAACAAAAGAATATGCATCCAATGGAAGGATCATAGAGACTTTTGCATGATCCAAAAACTAGAACTGAATGGTAATTTTCCCCTCCCATATTTAATAAGATCCATTCATAAACCTCTACATTCATAAACATGTGAAAGGATATCATATATATCCTCCCACAGAAGAAATTAAAATTGGATTGTATTAAAACAGGATTGATCATCTTTTGTGTATGGATGAGATTAATTATCCCTGCGTGCATGTTTTTTAAAAAATAGCAGGAACATCAAAGAATTTTACCATCTTTCTATTCGAAGCCATTTATATCTTAATTGGGGATTGTTGTTGATGCTTGTAAATGTAATCCAAGCTTTATAGCATAGTGAAAGCCGAGGGAGGCACTGTGGGGGTGGGAACAATGGCTTAACCCATGCAACGTAACGTCCCATCAGATGGTGATGGACGCTACCATTTAGGATCATGTTAATATTAATGCTGCCAATCAGTGTAGACAAAGGAAGTATAACGCAATATCTCTATGAACTGTTTGATATTGAGATCTAAAAAATTACTTTTACCTGTAAAGTAGCATCTTCTTTAACGCAGGTATCCAATTGATCTCTGCTTATTACCTCACTTCATAATCCCGTTGCTTCTTTCTTCCTTTCCGACGTACAAATTGATATACTGAATAGAGTACAGGATACATTAATTCTTGATTATTTGGATGCCATGACAATTAGCTACTATTGCAGTGCGCCTTCGCTGCTTCTTACTTTGATAAGTATTTTTATTTGCACGATCATCTTGATATACTCAAATAATACGTATCATTATATAAAATTTAATGAGTCAAGAGATTCTATCCGAATGAATACTTAAGAAGATGAGGATCCGTTCGGAATGTAGGCAGAGAGGCAAATCTTGCTAAATCACCCCTATGAGCATACTAAACGGTTTTATCCCCGACAACAACTCTGAACGACATAACCCAATCTCATCAACTTGAAGGGATAAATTGCACATCTATTAAATGAGTATGCAATCGAAAACAATTATGTCTAGTTAATGCCAACTATGACGCTGTCATATCCTTCTAACTTTAGCATATCGACATCCAAGTCAAATTGTCCTCCAAATAGATGTCAAAAGTTCTTAACAATAATTATATAAATAATCAAATGACCTAAAATTCTAGTTCTACATCTCTTTACTAACAACCGCTATTCATCATTTCTTTTATACTAGCATTACTACACTATTGCCTTCTAAGGCCGCCACCTTCCTCCAAACAGAGACTTAGACATCGGAGGGTTCTCCAATCCATAATGAGAGATTTGTTTTGCACGTATTTTAGTTAACTTAATTTTCATCTACCATCAAATGCCACAACTATACCAGCTAAGAAAGAGCCACTTCATCACACATTATCAACTAAGATTCATCCGACCTCATCAATAGTGTTGTCCGTGTAAATTTGAGTTAAAAGTTAGTTTCTAATTCATTATAAAATCTATGTCTTTCATAACCGAAAATCAAGAAACACCAAACCATGGTAACATGATAGGTTTTGCTAGTTTAAGTGCCAACTCTCGAGCTTTCTCTAGTTACAACATTTTGAAAGGTTGATAAAGGCACTCTTAGTTACATAAGAGCATATCAAAAACTTCACTACTCTATTGCTAGCACTAGAAGTGCCTCGCTTAGCTCAATAATACGAAAAAAGCCTTCATCGCCTCCTCACCAAAACATATAAGGGAAACCCTCAATCACATATGAAGCAAGAAGTTGGAAAAGATAACGAGCAAAAGAAGAAAACACCACTACTCTTTTAACCCCCAAAAGGGTCGCTTCTACTATAGGAAAAAATGACTAGCTAGCAAAAGCTCTAAATGAGGGAAAAAAGAAAGAGGAAGGTTGGCTAGAACACGAGTGATTGTTAAAATATATGCTACCAAGATTAGCTACAATGAGCCTTAAACCCAAGCATTCATAAATAGGGAAGAATTCACCATCCTCCATCCGTCAAAACCGGATTACTACAATCATGAAACTTAAGCATCTCCACTTACTCCTCACATTTTGAATGCTTAGCTTTCGAGAGAATTTATTTCTACGAAGATGAATCTAGACCCATATGATGTCATGGTCGATCAACAGAGCATGTAAAAAATGTTAGAAGTACTCTCAAATTGGTACTTCAAGATACCGACGCCACGTGTAAAATCCTTCCCACCACTTTTAAGAAAGTGGCTAGGTAATGGTATAACGAGTCTAGGTTTTGAATCTATATTTAACTTTAAAGATTTATGCTTTAAGCTCATCACCTATTTCTCCACTAATATTCCTATCAAAAGAAGCTCTACTAATATGTTCTACATCATACGAGAGAGAGGAAAAACACCTAAGCTTATCTCTTCAACTTCTATAAAAAAAAAAAAAATACTAGAAGTGGGTAGGTCGTTAGAGACCCTTATAGGAGGTGTTACGACATCAATCTCTAAAAAAAAAAAAAACCTTTACACTTTTCTTGAAACGACCTTCTTTTAGGTTAAGAGGGTTATACAAAAACCATATTAAGGTCAAAGATGTGATTGGTGTTCGATAAGCTCACTCTTATTTTAAAAATCATAGGAAGAGAGAATATATATATATATATAAGAGATAGTTGTTCATACACCGATAAGGGATGTATGGATTCTCGAGAAGAGAGGAGCCATGGTGGTCCCCCCGACCGCGTCAATCCCACGAGTGAATAGAAAATTGGATCTACATTAGATCTCACCCGAATCGCCCCATCTATCCTCCCGAGGAGAAGTTTAGTTTCAAACCTCGATTCGAATAAGAGAAATACGCCATGCTATTTTGCCTTGGAGGATCCATATCTCCGGGTCGGCGCCGATGAGCACATTAAACTATCCATATGGCCGAGAGCCCTCACAGCCCGTGCACACTCGAATCGCCCCATCTATCCTCCCGATGAAAAGTTTGGTTTCAATCCTTGATTCGAATAGGAGAAGTACGCCATGCTATTATGCCTTGGATGATTCACATCTCGGGGTCGAGTGCTGATGAGCACATTAAACTATCCATGTGGCTAAGAGCCCTCACATAATTGTTTGCTTTTCTTCGAACTCCAATGCATCCCCTTAAATATTACCTAGACATAGGTGTAAACCACCTAACAAGGAGAATGACATATCAATCACTCTCTTCTAATAAAAGGCTCCTCACAATTTTGTACCTAAAAAGAAATATTATCTATCCGATAAGAGAATGGGCACAATATGAAACTATTTTTCCTTAAAAACGAGAGATATAAAGGCTAATTCCTAAGAGTTATCTCAAACAATTCTTGAATGAATGTCCGAATATAATCCTAAACCACAACGAGAGGAGGGGCAGGACTAAGTAATTGCTAGACTTGATGAAACTCAACCTCGTCTAAAATTTAGCCGACTAAAGTTCCATTAGTAGGCATGCAAAGGTAGGGGAATGTCGATTCTTATTTTAAGAGACGAATGCAACTATTACCATAATGTACTTAACCTTAAAATTCCCCACATAAGGAAGAACAACTATGATTAAAGGCAATCAATTAATGCTCCTATCACATCGAAATACACCACTAAAGGATATCTTATGATGATCTTGTAACAAAAATATTATCAATCAAAAAGTCTCTTTGTTTTTTTTATAATAAATATCGCCACCTATTTCTCCAAAAATCATGTTTTTTTAGGGAACTCACTCCTTAGAGAGTCTATTCCTTTTAGAATATATGTTCTTTCAAGAACACACTCCTTAAGAAGTCATTCCTTTAATATTTTACGTTCTTTCAAGAACTTACTCCTTAAGGATTCTATTCCTTTGAGAATCTCTTTCCTCTAAAAACCAATTTTTACTTTGCTCTAGAAAAAAGACACACCTTACTCACATATAAATGCACCATATACCCTAAATCATATGCTATTCAAAGTGGGCATGATAAGACGAAAGGACTTTATTAAGTCGATCATATTAGAAAAAGGTCCAAGAAACGAGTTATCCCATCCTTTATATAAAATAGGATCTTGAGAAGCACACTTAGTCAAGTAGTGAAGAGCTTGGATTCAAAGTGAGCCAAACTCATAAGGACATGCAAAGAACATTGGATTCGAACTTGATAAACCGACCCTTACATCATCCTAAGAGACTTCGGATCTCGACTAAAGAAAAATAGAGCGTTAACGCCAAAAGAAATAAACAAAACACAATGAAAATATTTCATTAATAAATTATGAATAAAACCTAAAATTACAGGACTAAGGAAAATGATTAATGGAAAAGTAGAAAAACCTAGTCTATCTTTATTAGATTTGTAGTTCCATCTAGATTCTCCTCAATACTCAAAGGCATAGAAAGCTCTAGATGTACATTTGGGCCTTTCTCGAAGAGAAAGAAGAAGAAAGTTATTCATTATCATTAATAAGAGGTGTCGCTATCCTTATATGGGTATAAAGGGATATTTGATAACCTATTTAAGTAGATTAAAAAATTAAGTTGTAGTACTTAATATAAAAAGTTTGTTTGATAACCTAAATAATTTCATATTAAAAATTTAAGTTCAGTCAAAATTTACTTAATTAGTTAAGTTAAAGTTTTTAACTTATTACTTTTTCATTAACACGTTCGATTGAAATATTTTAAAAACTTTTTAAATATGACTATATCGTTCTTATATATTCTTATAACTTTAGCTATACAAACCAATTGAAAAACAATCTCTACTATCCCCATTACTAAAATAGAGAAAACCTTCTCTATTATCGATGCTTTCATCTCGAATTTGAAATGCCAAGGTCTAATCCCATTACGTATAATTTTTCTTTTATTCCATTACAATTAATTTTCCTTCATGTTTGTTAATATTTTGATCAATTTTTTTTTTATAGATTTTTTTTAGAAAAAGACTGATTCTTTTGTCGATCAATCTATTATGTTGATTAAGCTCTTTTGTAGATTACGTTGTTTTAGTTTTTGGGTTTTGATTTATATTTCTTCGTATCTTTCTAATCCCATAATCATTAATATTTTTTTTTCTTTTTGTACAATTTTATGTTGATATCCTTCAAATCCATCAAGGGCTTCACGTGGGAATTCAGTTAAAGTAGGGAGTTTTTGTGATTTAGAAAGACATGATTCCCGTCATAGAAGCATAATCCGGACATGAACACGGTTGAAAAATTAGTAAACTCTCTAAATTACCTTACATAGCTTTGCTTATCTTCTATCCCTTTTTGAAAATTGCCTTCTGTTTTTAGTATAAATATCGACAAAATTCATTACATGATTCGGAACTATCTAGCTGGATCAATAAAAGAGCCTCGACTTTGCTCGAAAAGTTGAGCAATCAACTGTAGTTATTCTTCAAGTTTATCAATAAAATATCATGTTACAATTACAAGGTTAAAATTATCATGTATATAGCCTTAATATATTCAGCAATAGTATTTATCAAATAAGCTTATTATAGTTAGCATTTAATTTTCAGTAAATATTAAACAACTTGTTAGGAACATATTCATGCTTAATTATTCAACACTTAAAATTCAAGTACTTAACAGATTCAACACTTAATTTTCAGTTTTATCAAACACCACCTAAGTAAGGGTGTTCATTTGGTTTTTGATTAACCAAACCTACAACCATAAAAACCAACATTGAATTACTATTCAATTTTTTTGGTTTAAAAACCAAAATTTCGATTTTTAGTTTATTTTTTTTTCTTATTTTTGAATTTTTTAATAATATAAATAGATAAAAAAAAACCCCTAAATCTATTATATATCTATAATAATGTTAATGTATTGATTTTATTTATTTATTTGTATTATTTAGAAATTGAAAAAATAGAAAAAAAATTAGAAGAAAGTAGAAAAATCAATTTTTGGTTTAAACTGAAGCAAATATTTCAAAAATAGAACCAAATTGAAAAAAACTCTTTTTTTTCAGGAGTTAAAAACGAAATCAAAGTTGATATTTCGGTTTAATTCAGTTTGTTTGCTTGGTTCAAACTGAATAGTGCTGACTTCCAGATAAAAGAAGGTGTTGCGTAGTAAGGAGAAACCTTCTCTCTATAGTTGCAGCGGCCAAATAGAGAAAAATCCATCAAAATCCAAGGCGAGATCGTTGATGAAGACTTAAAAAAGATCTATGTCTATCTTCTTGATTTTGCTGTAGAAGTAGATGTCTTTAAAATTCTGCACCACTCGGTCAACGGAAGCATCGATCAATCTTATACAGCTTCTTTTTGGCATTCTATTGTGAAGATTTTAGGCCTGTATTTGGAAATCCAATAAATAAAATAGGATCAATAATTAACAAATAAAGCTTAAAATCGAGGAGAGGAGAAAATATATTTACAACAAGGACCAACTGCATGGTTTTTCTCATTTGCTCAGACATAGAGTTGTTTGCTCAGGATGCCACATCGTAAGATAACATGAAAAAGTACTTGAACATACCAGAAGTTTTTTTTCCCTCTTTGACCCATAAGGTGGCAACATCTCCAAAATGCTCTTTCTTATATGAAGTTATTTCTCATATAGAAGGAGATGAAACACGAGCTAGTTCATAAGATATATTTAAACTCAATTATAAAATATAAATATTTTATTAAATATTTAATAATATAGATTAAATTAAATTAATTCTATCGTTTTCAGTATATAATGCCCTCGAAGCTTCTTGAATCATGCTTTCTATTATTTGTCAACTTGCTCCAAATTACTTTCTTTTTCCAGGGGAAACAAAGAGGAAGTTTGAGAGTGTATATACAGCAGGCACTATGAGTACTCCTGATGCAGCCCAAGTTTTTCAATATTGGCATTGTTGTGGGTCTGAAGATCCCTTTGATCCAGGATGCACTGCTGCTCCTCGTTCCTACTATGATGACTGATGTAGAAGACGTTTTCTCAAGCAATGCAGATGATTTTTTACGTTCTTGATTATTTCGAATATGACTTCATATGCAAGCTCAACTACACTCCTTCATCCGTCCTTGTAGAGAATATATGCTGACATAAATCACACATTATATTCTCATTCAACAACTTAGCGTAGGACTTTTAACACCTCCAGCGCCAATGTTCACACCACTGGCAGCGTACATAGTGCCGAAATTCCAAGGTCCTCTGACTTGTATTGCCTTGACTTAAATACAATGGCTTGAATCGAAGAAATGGAAATGGCTTATCTTGCACCAGTAGTATCCAGGAATAGTATTATCTGGTGGTTCTTGCAGTTAATAGTGATCCAACTCATCTTCACTGCGTACAAATAATAATAGCTTGTACTCTACAGATTTCATTGATTCAAAAGAGATGTCTTGCAGTATATGAGCCTGCCTCATTAAGAATTTTCTAAAGTGTCTTTCGATGAGGATCTTAGCTAAGTATCGACGATAGCAAAGAGATGCAAGCATGTGTTATCAAGAAGTTTTCTTCCCTCCTTCCCCCATAAGGTGGCGACATCTCCAAATTGTTCATTTCTCATATGGAGTTATTTTTCATGTAAAAAAGAAAATAAGACACGGGTTAATTCATAAAATATATTTGAACTCAATTATAAAATATAAATATTTTATTAAATATTGCATAATGTAAATTAAATTAAATTAATTATCACAATTAATATTGGTTAATTTTTATTTACACCTAGATATTTTAAATTATTTAAGATTTCAATTATCGATCAAGTGAGCACAACTTTTTATGGTTCATTGCACCTTTGGCTGCAAATCAAGATTTTTCCAATTCCCAATGCAAGGGAGATTGGATTCCAGTTTCCAAATTGCAAGCGACTTTAACAGAATGAAAGCAATCGCCCACCAGCTTAGATAAGAAGTCTGAGGAAGTGGCACATTCATTATCTTCTTAAACTGAAGAAAACCTAACATGTTAATTAGTAGTACAGTGACATTGAGAAACAAATGAGTGCACAATTTCCTCCACGTATCTGGTGCAATTACTTCTTGATTATAGCATAAATCTCTCAAGTCTGAAGTGTAATTTATATATGCTTGAATCAAATAAATCGCTGCAAATAACGAACATCCTAAACCAAAATATATAATTAATAATCATATAAAACATATGATTGAAAATTGATTTGAAGTCTTCCTTGCAGAAAAGGTTTTCAGACAAACTCGAAGGTGACAACTCTGGATTGATCTATGATCAAACCAGAATATGTCACTCTCCTCCTTGCTTTCTTCTGCTCAGAAGCATATGAATGTTGAGGAGCAGTCCGGCAGGTACAGATTGATGATCAGTCTCCTTTAACACAATTCAGGCCAAGCTCAAAATTAAGGCCCCTGGCCCCGACAACCAAAAGCAACATAAAGACCATTGCTGATATAGCAGGGGTTGTCTCTAAGTGTTTGCCAATTGTGGTTGATCAGAGCCTGTCGCTCTCAGCCATGATTGGGCTAGTGCCTACATTTTGCGCAAGCCACGACCTTACAAGTGTAAAGCTTCAAATGGTCATTTGACACCATCCACAATTGAAGTTGACGACAACGATACTATGTTCGATTAGTCGAGGCTCAATCATCCAGTAGAATCAAAATTTCCAGCAATAATGCAAGAATGTGAAAAATGCAAGAATGTGAAAGTCATCCTCATTCATGACTCCCCTCATGCACCAGCACCACTTGCTTGACGCTATCTGTTAGCTTCATATTCTTTGCTGCTTGGTAGCGAAAATCCTCATGTTCAACAGAGGGAGAATTTAAGGCTAGCCCCACCATCTTCAGAGTTGATTCCAAAAATGGGACTTTACTAGGATGGCGACAAACACCACCATAATTCTGGGGGTCCGACTTGCACTCGCATCAGTGTGCATGGGGATCTCTGTGTCTAGACTAGATAATACGAAAATGTCAAGTGGGGATGAATGACCTTTTTTAACGTCACCTGCAGAGTCGGCTCCCCTCATGTTTGTGCCAATAACCTTTCCACGAGTTCGTATTCTAGTTTCATGTTTGTTACCAAAAGTGTTAGAACAGAAACTCATCTGACCCTCATAAGTTTGATGCCTCCACATGGTTTGTTTCCTATCTCTACAAGCTTTCATTTCCACAGCATTTTGCTTCGTCTGAATAGATGTTCTTTTTCACGGCCATATACAATCTTAGTGAATTTTGGTGATGTAATTGAAAGGCCTATCGAAGAAGAAAAACACATATATGCAACAGCATCATTTTTACCCCAGTAAAAAACCAAGTTACCGATTCAACATTTGAGTGCTTATCTATATCAACGACACCCCAAATTCTAACCCTAATTTCAGTTTCATAACGATGAATTGAGAATATAATCCCTCTAGTGAATGAAGTTTTGCCTAATATGCAGACCGCTTGAACAAGCATTTCCAATTTACAAATAACAATATGACCACGCTCTAACTCAAACTTAACTAAAGGTAGAAAGGCCTGACTGCAGAGACATTTTTCAACCTATTTAATGCCAAATACAATGTGGCTATTTTTCTCAATCACTCTATTTACATCTTTCACATTAAAGACGTACTATATTTTTTTTATCCTATTTACAATTTCTTCTAGATGTGACAATTTTCCTGGTTGAACAGTCTTGAATTTCCTTGAGCTCAAGCAATTACCTATCCCATCATGAATAATATGTCCTCATATTCCCCTTCCAAGAAATCTGCTCTTGTTGCAGCCAACTTCTTAAGTTCAGTCATTTACCTTCGATTCTGAAGCTCCTACTTACCACACTTTTTTACCGTTGAGTTATGCTGAATTGCTGATCAGAGGGTATGTGCTGAAATCCTAATTTCAAAGCAGATAATGCTATGATATCATCGTACTTTTATTCATGTCCAAGGATCAATTTGATAGTACACAAATTAAGATGCAGCAAATCAGAGTATACGGCCCAATTATCTTTGATCTCCTTCCTGCTATACCTTTGATTAGCCTGAAAAAGTAAAATGACATCGATGGTAATGGATTGAAAGTAGCTTATCAATCAATCAGTAGTACAATTATTTATGACCTTCTGTCCTTGGAAAAACTCCTTTAGTCTTAGGATTTTTAGAATATTTTCTGCCAGGATATTTTTTTTTTTTTTGAATGAATAAAATTTATGGAAGCAAATTTAAGGTAATTCTAGATATCCAATTCAAGCCACTGATATTGAGAGGGAACGTGATGTAGACCAAGCACCAATAGTTCGATATTAAAATTGAAGTTTGCCTAATTACGCGCTTGAGGTCGCAGCCCAATGGTGAGATTGAGGGTCGCTCACCGATGACACTCGGGTTCGATTCTCTCTGCGCACGCCTGTCACCCCCGTGGTGCCTTACTTGTCCACTGGGCTTACATGATGTTCAGTGGGTCTAGAAATTAATTGAGGTGCGCGCAAGCTGACCCGGACACTCTGAATTATAAAAAAAAAAAAAAAAGTTTGCCTAACTACAGGCTTCAGAAAGCCAAATAACTTATTAGCCGAGGTGATGCAGCTTCTCTCTGAAGTGGTTCAACATCTGCTGTCATCACAGAAATCATATTGATTTTCTTATCACAGCTTTTATCGAAACCATTTGTATTTTTTATTTTTCGTTCCAATGGGGAAGCCTTATACAATGCGCGCGGTAGCCCTCTTAACTCCATACTCCCACGCAGACTTTGAACCTGAAACCTCCTAGGGTGTCCTCTTAGACACTTGTTAAAACCAAAGTTGGTCAATAATAAAATGCCACTAGACACTCGTGTCCTCGATAAATTATTAATACACTAGCGTTGAAAGATATTTTTTCTCATCAAAGATGTCTCTATTACCTTTTGTCCCTAAGCTAAAAACACTTTTCTTATTTTTCAGCTCATTCCTATTCCTTCAGTTGCTTGTGGAACAGAGTCAGTATTTCAGGGCCAATAGCAACAACAGTCCTTTTCCAAATGATAAAAGAAAACATATCTAATGATTGTAACACTACCATACTCCTTGATCGCTTAAACACAACTTGATCGGTAGTTTTGGCAACTTAGCCATCCACAGCAAGAACTGCCAGGAAGCGGTGTGGGTCATGTAGCCTTAATGTGATTAACAGTATCATTACCTGGCATAAGTAAAACCAGGCTCTGAGGAATTCCATTCTGTACAAGAGGAGAAAAAAAAAAAAAAAACAAGGAGTTGATAGCTGCAACTAATTGACCATGGCACCACAAGTATGAAAAGGTTTAGATTTTAGTCATGCCTATGATGGTGTACCGGATTTGTTCAGGAGCTTCAGGCTTTCCCACAGTCAAGAACATCAAATTCCTTACTGCAAAAGCAAAAAATGGCTTAGGATTAGAAAATGCAGTATCAAGATATTTATTTAAGACAATCACAATTTAGTATAGTTTATCTGGCAAGGGACCTTCAGAGAAATACCCCACCCTGGGGTCGAGCAACCAAAAAGCAATGGACTTTTCACCTGACTATACCCTAATAAGAAAAGATCTTCTTCTTTGTCAGATTGTCCTTGAATTCATTAAACCCAGACATGATAATCTCTTCAGTCCCTACTTTTGAGCCCGAAGTCTTTCCACGAAGTACCTAGTAGAATACCATGGCAGTAATTAACATTTAGCATTATTAACACAATATAGAGATTGCATGTGAGTAAACATTTCAAATTCGAAAGGTACATGGGCCATCTATCATAGCCCACCCTCTTAAAATGCATCTGCAAATACAGATCTGTCAGATGTGCGACAAATAAGATGTTGCAACGGTGCAAAAAAACTGCTAAGATTTAGCGGTCAATGCGAAATCATGCGAAAGAATTTATAAACCTCACGCCGAAACGAGTGCATGGCTTATACAGAATTATTTGCTTATATGGTTTAGGACCCACTGTCCATTTGGCCACATGATTTGATCTTGACAAGGAATAGCCAACCCAAATCTTGGAACTATCTCTGTGGTTCTCTCCAGCCACCTTCATCTGAGATCATTGGAGGTTTCCAGGTTGTCTTTGACACCTTATTCATACACAGTTCGACTTGTAATTATGAAATGCAACTCCTCTCCTAGCTAGCCCCTCATAATAATCAAAGCGGTTGAAACTGAAGATTGATTTGTCAAGAGAGAAAAAAGATGAAGGCAAGTCTACTATACACTTGAAAAAGATAGCATTGGTCTTTCTCCGTGCTTCTTGAGCTAATTGCTGAATGCCACTTTTTTGCAGTTACTAGGTTGGATGCACCGTAAGCTTCGGCAAAATGGTAGTGAAGCACTGAAGGATTTTGCTATTGGTAGGTATCTTCCATTTTCTTTTTCCTGCTAAACATTTCGTATTTCCAATAGCCATGAAAGGAAATGACGGCCCTTAGATTTTTGGGTCGGTAGAAGATTATCCATGTAGAGGAGAGGCAAAATGTAGTCGCAGAACTAAAAGATTGTCCTGCATGACTCAGAGTCTGCACTTGCACAGAAAAATTCTTGGTTTTCACGCTCGTATTAATCTCCCAGCAAAGGTATTTAGCCATCATCAGAGACCTGATGTGCGATGCCACCACCAAGGAAAAACACAAATGATGAGCATAATATAATAGAATGATTTCCAGACTTTTGGCTAAAAAAATTTCCATGCTGCATGCTGTAGCGACTGGAATGCCATCCATAAGACCCTAGTGAACTAAACGTAATTTGAAAAATATGCGAAAGCAGAAAAGTTGTTAGATTTGTACCTTAGTTTAACACAATAGAGTTAAAAAGTCCAGACATGACAATCCTGTCAAAATGCATTATTGGAATCAAGTTCATTTAACATTCTCCTTCTTCTGTGTGCGCGCGTCAGGCAATCCTTGCAATTGCCTTACAGGACAGCAATCACTAGATGACCAACAATACTGCACAAAACCGAACTATGGGACCAGAACATTTAGGCAAGCCCAGAAAGAGCACCTTCGAAAGTCTTTTGCTGGTTTAGAAGCAGCTCGAGTTGAAGAAGAAGAAGAAGACTACGAAGAAGAATCATCAGCTGCGATATCCGAACTATTCCATGGTTTTCTGGCAATTGGCACCCTTGGTTCAGAGCCAGTCAACACGGACCCGTCAACACCAACATTTCCCATCTCTGTTGAGAATATAACTGAGAAAGAGACTGAAGTGACAGAGAATGAACTGAAGCTTATCAATGATGAGTTAGAGAAGGTTCTGGCAGAAGATTGCTGCAATGACTCATCAGGAAGAAACAGTTATGTTAGTGCTGGGAGAAGCAGTCATGGCAGCACCATTACACTCAGTGGCAAGCCAATGGAAGGCCGAGATTCCAATGCAGTCTGTCCCCTGCAGGGATATCTATTTGGATCGGCAGTAGAAATGTCAGAGACAGCACCTGTGGCAAAGAAGGAACACAGGACATCGCTTGGCGAACTATTTCAGAAAACAAAAATAGCAGAGGAAAATTCTGGGTTTAAATATGAGAGGGAGGAGAAGCGCCTGGAGAAGGAAGCTGATAAATCTGCCGTGAATCTCATGAAAAAGATTCTGAAGAAGAAAATGCTCCATGCTTCATCTAGGAGCTCTACTTCAGCTGGAGGAGCAACTGTTGATTCTGCTTCAGCAGAAACAAAACTACACAAGGTATGTCCATAGATGTCGTAACTTCCAAGCCAAAATCCTTATTGGATGAATATAGAATTAGTAACCCTAACGTGAGAATCCCAAGTTCAAATCCCATTGTTTTGCGATGGAGGTTTGTAAGATGAGGGAATACTGTCCCTGTTGCTTTATTCGAGACCTGCGGACCGTCTAACGAAGTTGAAAAAAAAACCTTGGGAAATATGCCGCAATTCACTAATTCTAACAGTTTTTATTTTGCAGCCGTATGTTCTTCAAAATGCTTAATTGTCAGAAAAATGATGAAATGGCCTCCTAAAGAAGCAAAAAGACAGAAATACAGATCAACCAGTATATTTTATTATTTTTCATTGTTCATGTATAAATATAACCGTGTTCCGGACAGATTTTTCAACCCCAATAAGATATGGCACATATTTTCTGTTTTACTGAGTGAGTGCAATATCCTAGTTGTGAAGTTCTGCTTGATGTGTGGTGTGCAGATCCTACACATGTTCCACAGGAAAGTTCATCCTGAAAGCTCAACATCCACCAGGAAGGCCGACAAGCCCCCAAAAAATGAGAATAAGAAGAGCAACAACAATGGGGGAAACAACAATGGAGGTCAGATGCTCCTGGACGAGGACATCACCATAGTTCCTCGAACCCTTTCAAAGAGGAGCATAAGGCGCTTCAAGAGTCAATCTAACCCACCCCACTTCATGTTTACTGGCTGTGACTCAAATGGAAGCAGGGAATGCTGGATAAAAACAGATGCAGACTGTAAGTATCCCTTTCGGAACTTCAAGTTCTCATGTTCACTAAATTTTTTGCCATCAAAACTTGACTGTTTAGGACTTAAGAAGTTCTGGAACAAATGGCAGGGATCATTTCCTGACTCTTGTAATCAATGAAAAGACAAACATATCCGTTCTTAGACTATACATGGGATTTTTTTTTTTCCTGTTTGAGATTCTACTCTTAGTTTCTTTCATGTGTGAGTTCTTCGACAGTCTCCATGTTATTGTCAAACATTGTGAAGATTGATTCTTCAGGGACATAATGTGGATCAGTTAATTTTTCGTCTAGTATTGTGCTTGTTAACTTCCCTAATTCAGCGCGTGTTTTGCTTTGCAGACCTGGTGTTGGAGCTGTGAAAAGCAAATGCAGCAATCAAGTATGGTTTTAAAGTATCTTCTTCAATCAGAAAGTAGTGTTGGGTTTGAAAACATGTCCTTATAGGAGATTGTTGCTTGTAATATGTGAGTGAGATTATTATGTTATGAAGAAACTTTTGAGTGGGAAAAATAAATAAAAAGGGCAGTTCCTACAGTAACCTGCCTTTGAGTAATTGTTATGTAATGTAACGTACGTATATCTGTTTGTGGTAAACATATTTCAGTTATTATCCAAGTCTATTTCGGATGTCAAAACGTCATTTTTTAGCTGCCAAAGCTTTTTTACACAGGATTGACTAGCAGTGATGCTGAAAGTGCAACAAATTAACTCTTTCTGTATGGTGAGATACTGAAAGAAAACATTACCATATAACTGGAATTAAAACAGCAATAAATGACATTAAATTAATGGTTCTGATTCAATTTGGCTCTATATGAAGCTTCTAAGAAGAGGCAGGAAAGAAAGAACAAAAATATTGCTATTGGGGGCAACTAATATCAAGGATATGGTCATGCAGCAGAAGAATGAATTCAAATATGCTAGGCTAAATCATTATGAAGACCGTTCGATCAAGGACTATATTGCAGATCGGTTGCTTTCAGTACTCATATCCACTTTCATGTGTCTACTACTATCCTGTTTTGTTTTTGATAGTCTCCTGATTCATTCAAATGTTTTGCATTATAGACTTTTGTTTTGGAGCTCTACTAGGCAGATGCAGCAGCCAAGCTGCTACATTTAATCAAGTCTTGTCCTATTATGAGTGGCTTTACTTTTATCAGTCTTTTATTATTAGCCTTATGGATGATTTGTTGGCCATATCCCTGAAAACCTCGTTGATGCATAATGTAATGTACTGCATCTTTTTCACCGGAAACATATTCAGGTATTCAATTAAGTGTTTCTAGATGTTAAAATCATCACTGACTATGACTACACATGAGCTGAGAATCATACAGAATAAAACAGGGTACCAACAGATGCGCCTCAACCTGCCCGAACTTTTTAATCCATTGATTGACTAGACAGGAAACCAATCCAAAACAGTGGAGCAAATTCTGCACCAGATTGACCAAGACAGACGATATCAATTCAGTCTTTTAAGTAAAATACTGAAAGAATAGTCGATGGCCAAGATGTCCAAGGCAAGTCTAGATAACTACGTCATGGATACTGTCACAATGAGTAGAAAACATCATGGCAGTGAAATTGCATACATTTCACATGGAAGACTGCAACAGACACCTCCATGCCCCAAAACTCATCAGTACATTTGTGAAATACAGAATCCCTTAAACCAACATGAACACGAGACAGAGACAAGACACAACTTCGCAAACCTAGCTAAACGCTCTAGTAAATATCTAGCTTAAGGGGATAACTTTCAGGAACTTGGATGGAAGAAGTAATAATTTCACTTTAATACTTTTACATACGGAATTGTGTTGAAGAATAAAACAAGCTTGCATGGAAATGGCATTTAATCGTTTCTTTTTTTACCATTTCAATGACTCCCTACTCGGTGAACTTCTGTTGGTAGATTGGCCCAAACATCATAGGCCTGAAAGAGGCTTAGGACAACAGGAAGGAACAGTTCCTTGTGCTTATTTGGTTGATGGAGAAAACAGATGGCACCATGCATTACGGAGATCCTTGTACAATCAACTCATGAAAACAACGTAACCTAATAACTAATGTGGAGCTCAGCTGGCTACATAAAAAAATCTAAGCACTAAGCAGCTGTCAAAAAGGTGAGATTCCGCCTTAAGCACTGCTATCCACAAAACCATAAAGGGCCCCAACCTGAAGCTCTCTGTTCAAGTGGAGCTCCCTGTTCGGTAAAGGAGCGTTCACTATCCATATGTCACCTTGGCTTAAATTAATTTAAGAAGAATCTGAACTTCATCACACGGCATGGTTAAAAATTCGATGCAAGGAGAATAGGTGAAAAACGAATATTGACCAATGGAGGTTCATTTCATCTTATGGTTTCACCAACAAGTTTGACACAAATCAGTAGTGCAGAAGGCAATGAAAGAAACAAAATAATAATAATAATAATAATAATAATAATAAAACAAACCCATAAAATGGGAATGTCATCAGCATGCACCGTCCATGTAGCTCACCAACAATTCCTGTACCATACCTCTATCAGGTATCTTCCCAGCAGCACCATATATTGGAGCTAAGCCTCCAGTTATTGGACCAGGATTTTGTTTCACCTGGAAGATTTCAGAAAAAGAGGAACAAAAAATGAAAAATAAAATGAGCGAAGCCATAACTGAAGGCCCTTCCCACTACCACTTCCCAACAGCCAACATAAATACCCCTAAAGGTAAGTAAATTACTGATCTGCTTTAATAACTCCTTTCGTGAAAACAACTTACAGTTTGTACAGAATCCCTCATATCTCGGAGGAAGTCCTCAAAAACTTGTGCGTGCTGAAGGGTAACACAGATATGAATGCTGATTCAGCCACGTGAAAAATTGTAATCAGTGTATCAAAATATGCTCATAAATGCATGCTCAGAAGCAAGCTATGAAACTGAAATACAACAGAAAAATAAACTACTTATACCAGCCACTCCAAACAATTAGAATCAATCAATTAAATTTAAAAGCTTCACTCTGATGCCTCCAATCAATGAATAATAACTTGCTGCCAAAGGTGGCTATCTTCTAATGCAAACAATGAGAACATGAGATAACCATGCATATATGCCCTATAGAAACATATATCTTCTGAAAAAAGCCTACCTGTTGGGCCTCTGCAATGCATTCAAATGCCAGCCTTTGGATGACATGATATCATTGACTTCAAATATGTCTAGCTCATTAGATCCAATTGCAACGATTGTCATGTCTGGCCTTCCAACGATAAATAACTCAGGTATTTCCTTGATCCTGTGAAAAGAAAGACTCACTTTCAATTGTTCAAGGAATTTATAACCCAAATGAAAAGGGAAGGAAAATGAAGGTACAACAACACAGACCCTTTTTGTATTCTCTTTGATACTTCCATTATTTCTTTAGTGTTTTCCAGGTACCCTATAGGATGTAATGAAACATCAGGTTAAACACAAGCATTCACTGGAACATCTGGATAGGCAATAAGGGAAAACTACATGGTAGCACCTTCTAGCCCTATAGACATCAATGCTGCCCATGCCCCGGCAATCAAACTCCCAGGCCTGCTTCCAGCAATGGTAGGGGAGACATAGAGCCCACCTGACCACTCAGTCACTGCAACAAGGAAACCAAGAAAACACAATTAGAGCACCAGAAGCACAGGCTTCAAACAGCCAACTAGAAAAGCCTAGTGTATAAAAACTTGATATTAAGATATGCCCTGCCTCTTTTCCACATTGATAGTGCTTATGAATGCCCAGACAATTTACTATATAAGTCTTGAAAATAATCATATAAAAATCAGGCCTAATCTTTTTGATAGAGATTAGTAGAACTTACCAGCAACAAATTGATGCTGTTGGGAAACAGCCAAGCGCACAAATTATAAGTAGCATGCCCACCAAGATGCCATCACAAGAAACTCATATCAGAATTTAAAACAAAAGAACCACCAATAAAAACATGAAATCCACAAGTCATGCAACACAATTGATATGGATCTTGATTACTAACAGTGTGAGTGATGCAAGATTTCTGCAATTTGAAATCACTGATAATGAAGAACAGGAACAACTAATTAACTAGTGAGCAATGCATGAGATCTGCAATTTGTACAAAATCCTGATATCAAGCTGCAGCATATGCTCAAAATGGAAAAAAAATAATGGGAACTGAAACACTAATTCTGCAATGTGAGGCAGCATGACGGGAACTAAAAGAAGCAGTTTAATATGTTTCATCAACATTGTACAGGCAACTCAGGAACCAAATTTGAAACCAGAGAGAGATGGTACATCGCTTATGCCTACAGTTACAGATAAAACTATAATAGTTTTACCTTTCTAATAGCATGATTTCTGTATAGAACTACACTTGTTCCTTTTGGTGCCAGTCCATATTTATGAACATCCACTGATATTGAGGTTACTCCTTTAACGGAAAAATCAAAAGGTGGAATCGGGTACCTGAAATAGGAAAAAAATATTAACGTGCCCAAAAGCCAGAGCCAGAAAATGAAAGAGCAATTGACAGTGATATTTAAAATCATGTACCAAAATCCATAAAGCACACAACAGATAGATGTAACGCATGTAGAATAATTACAAAGCCATTTACAGCAATCAGTTAAATCCAACAATGGTAGTATGTTGTCCTGGTGAAGAATAGTGGAACCTTGGACTAGCCCCTTTGCATAGACCTAGGGAAAAAAAAAGTCCAATCTACAGTAAGGCCTCTAAACTCCTATGCCAGTAAACCATAGTACTGCCCATGGTGATGGGGCACCCCAAAAGGCATACATTCTTAATTTCATCAGTGTCTACCATGAACAGTGTCCCACAGTCTCCTGAGCGTCAGATGCCAAGAGAAATTATAAACTAGGGCAATATTGCTCGATAAACACCCTTTATTGCATTTCCTTATCCAATTTCCAACAGGAAAGATAGCTCCTCTTTTTTCTTTTTCTTTTTTTTTTTTTTTTGCATGAAACAAACATCCTTCTCGTGGACCTAAATGAATATGCCAGGAAACCACAGTACTGCCCATGCTGATGGGTGTCCCAAGAGACATACATTCTTAATTTGACCACTGTTTACCACGAACAGTGTCCCACAGCCCCCTGAGTGCCAGATGTGAAGAGAAATTACAAACCAGGGAAATATTGCTCAAAAAACACCCTTTATTGCATTTCCTTGTTCAGTTTCCAACTGAAAAGATAGCTCTTTTTTTTTTTGGCATGAAACAAACATCCTTCTCGTGGACCTAAATGACTTGGAGCTTAATCATGATTTCAACTGACTGGTCTTCAATCAATTGCCCTTCTTTGATCAAGTAATTAATGCTCGTGAGTTAATATAAAACCAATTCCTAATGCCTCACCTAATAACTTACGTTTATGAGTTCAGATGGTTTTTTGACAATTAAGAGACATAACTAGAATCGTCTTTCTTGTTAGGCCAATCAGTTCTGTAAACTGTATGTAATCTTATTCTTACTTATCAACCATCCCTAAAGGATAAAACGGCCCCACAGCCAAAAAGCTTTCAGAGAATTTCACAATCAAGTTTTAGCCCCAAAAAGTCATTATTCAAGCACCCAAGCTAATCATAGAAATATAAAAAGGACCACGAAATTGTGATATTTGCATACTTTGTATAGATAAAGAGGCCTTTCTAAGAATTTTGCGGATCCTGGCAAAAAATGGCACACAAACCAGTAATCACTGAGGAAAAAATAGTTGCTCAGGAAAAAGACATACCCAAGCTTACGAGCAAAAGGTAATACAAAGCCACCAAGACAAAGGTCAACATGGAGACATATTCCATAGCTAAAAGCCAATTCACCAAGCTCCTGCAAAATGAATTTTGATATTTTAGGAATTAAAGGATACCAAATAATGATAACTTCGAATAAATTGAGAAATGAGAATGTAGAGGGTGCTAAGATCACTTACCTCAATAGGATCAATGATGCCATGAGGAAACCCAGGTGCAGATCCAACAATCTGGAGTATCATGATACCAATGTTAGGCCAACTGATAAGTAATTCTTATTTTGGAGCAATCTAATATGAGAACAACATCAACACTGGAGCTTTTTCTTTGGGCAGGAGCTCGGGGTGACAAATGAAACAAAAGTTAGTGAAAGGGTCTACAAATGTGTACCAAAATAGTGTTCTTGTTAATTTGCCGCCTTATTGCTTTGACATCAGCTTGAAATTCTTTATTTACTGGAACACGCCGCAGCTTGATGTTGAAATATTGTGCTGCCTTGTCATATGCTGAGTGCGCTGATTCAGGTATGATCCTATGCTTGGGAAGAAAATCACTCACATTAACTTGCAGACCAGGAATTCATCAAAAAACAAGGTGTTTGAAATTGACCTACATTTCTGGTCTTTTAATTCCCTTCTTAGCCTTCATATAGTCACGGGATGATTTCACAGCCAATAATATACTTTCAGTTCCTCCTGATGTCATGTTACCACATATTTCTCCTCCAGAAGATTTTTCTTTACTACCAAGTAGCGCTGCTGTCATTGCTACCACTTCTGCCTCAAATCGTGCTACGCTTTTGAACACATCCAAATGCAGTGGATTGGTGTGTGCAAACCTGAAAAGGAATCCCAATAAGCTTCACTAACACATAGGAAGGATGAATACATGAGAGGAACAGGAAGATCTAAGCTTACCATCATATGGAAAACCAATATACGAGGATAAAACCCTTTCTTGGACAGCACATAATCATGAAGCTCACAACAGATATTACAATCCCGACCAAATTTAGAGCGTCTAGGGATGAAATGCGAAGAACTAAGCTTATCGTAGGCATCACATTAAAGCATAAGCCAAACCTGCGAGGATGACACTCTTTTCTTGAGCTGTAATATAACCATGAAGGTGTCAAGGTTTATTACAAACCCAACTAAATTTAGTGTCCAAATGCCATTTTTTCAAATGTCTCTCAAATGACAGTCTTACATTTTTTATATTAACAAAAGAGGACCTGTTCTGTTTCAACAAACGCAAATGACGGAAGTATTCCAGGTTCAACATATAACGTACTTTTCTATAAAGAGTAAATATGTGTACAATTAGATTATTATCTGCTAAAGATTCAAAGTTTCTAATCGGTTTTAGAATGAAATAATCCAAGCAATTATGACTACCTGCAATGCCCACTTCTGCAAGGACACATCCACATATAGAGCATAACAGATGTCTTCTAATGACCACCAGTGTGCAATAATTAATTGGTAATAGAATTTACAAGCATTTCTTCTCTGAGTGAGTAAGCCTAACAATACTACAGAAGTTAGCTGCTCCATTAATTGCCATGATCATCACAAGCATGGCAAGTACTGAAGGAAGCACTAAACATCCAATACAAACTTCAGGTGTATCAAAACATACACCAGTCAAAATTTTAGTAAATACTACTCAAATTCTACTTCAAATAAAAAACAACTTGCATTAGAATTTAAAAGTGACAATAAATAAAGCATTACATGTTCCATATCTTACTTACATTGAGCATGCCTCATTTATCAGAGAAAAATGTCCTTCAGATTCACTCCCTCCAATGTAGCTGGACAAGAAAGGGAAAGGAAAAAAGAACTCAGTAACTGACTAAACTTGGATGGAGCAGAGAACCTTCTCAATACCTATGCACAATTTTTGTTGTCTTAATTTGTAAGGTATTAATTGCACACATACACTGTACCAGAACATTTTCCTTGCCAAACCACATCATTTCTTTTCTGCTCTTTCAGATTCTCTATCACTGCTACTCCTAAACCTTCCCTTGGTAACTCTGATATCCAGCCTTCTCTTTTAGAATCACTTCCAGACTGCAACTTCTCCACAACCTGCATGTTCAACAAGCCAAAATATCCACAATGTTTAAGCATGTGTTAGTCTTAGAATAAACCAAGGACGAGTATTTTCCTTGACAGAGAACAGTGAATGCCTGATGCACAGAACAGCAGAAATGGAGATTGATGCATTATCCAGGAGACAGTACTAATACTTCCCACCTAATAGAAAGGTTTATTTTTTGGGGTGTTTGGGGTGTTAAATAGTCCTCATCAGTCTGGAGTGCACATGTGATGGAGAGGGTTGTTAGAAGTGACATGGACGGAGTTTTCATCTATTTACCTGCATCACTTCCAACAACCTCTGTACCTTGAGTCTTTGTTTTACACTAATATTCATATACGGAACAGACTATTTGTACAAGGTACTGGTAGCCTTATTTTTCCCTTCATTTTGGAGAAAGATAACTTACACAAAAAAGTCTTTTTTCCAGATGAAAATTCAACACAAGGAGAGAGAGATGAATTATACCAAGGGTCTACACCAAAAGGAGCTGAGAAACAGGATTTAAGAAGGGCACTCGGTGGCCCTGAGATCACTTCTCCGCAATTAATAAGCATAACTAGAGCTCATACCCTGCTCTAGTTAGAGTTAAAATTGCCTAATTGTCTTTCTAGCATTAAAAAGACACTGCTATTGCAAACTCAATATACAGACTCTTACTGCTTTGAAGCAATTAATGTCATATCTTCATATGACAATCATATCCAACAAAAAAGATGTCTTTTCCCCATCACTTCTACGTCCTCCCAACATTTTCAGCAGTATTTTCATTAAATGCAGCAAATGAAGCTCAATCTATTATGCTCTCAATTGTAGGATACTTATTCAAGCAAGATTTGGTCCAAGGAAAACATCTCCAGTCAGCCAATTAACTGCTTCATAAGCCTGATCAACTCTCATAACCATCATGAACAGCCTGCATGTAACAACTACTACAATCCACATGGTCCCAGATGAAAATTAACCAATGTGTAATTCCTTCATCGACCAAAAAACACAGCAGTTCACATTATTAAATTAACACTTGTATTAGTCAAGGACCCACGAAAGTAACCCAGAAAACCAAGCTTTAAATGCAACAGTTCTTTTATAAATATATAAATTTCATTCTGGGCCTGTTGTAATGCAACTGAACAAACACCCCATTTAATGTTTCCCCTCCCTGACCTGATTCAAAATTCCCAATTTCATACTTATCGTGAATATACAATAAAACACTAAAAACAGACACCACAAAATCAGACATAAAAGAATACAAACAAAACCCGTCATTTGCATATAAAAGAAAGTCATCTTTCTCACCTTCTGTTTCTCTGCATCTATGTAACCCTTGACACCAGGCACCATCCTGTTTTTTTTTTTTTCCAAAGAAAAAGAGAGATTCAACTGTTGTATAAATTCTCTTTCTGAAATCAAGTGAAAGAGTGAATTTATTAATTACTTACTTGACCGCGGAGATTAGAAACCCTAAAATGGTGGATTTGAGACCATTATCGTGAATAAGAAGAAGAAATGATTGAATAATTCCGGCAATAAAGAGAGTGAGAAGAGGAACCAGAACCAAAGCCAAAGGCTCATAATTAGATAACAAAGAATTAGCAGAAGCTCTAAAATCAATCAAACAAGAAATAATATGATCCATTATTATTCTTGCTGCTGTTAGTGTTGACGAAGATGATAGATTGATAATGTGGAAAGAGAAGATTAAACCAATAAGTAATGTTTGTCACAATAGTCAAGTGTGTGTGTGTATATATATATATTATATACACATGTAGAGAGAGAGAGAGAGAGAGAGAGAGAGAGGCAGAGAGAGCACTAGTGATCACAAGGTACACAGAGATGTCTGAATTTGTTTTTTCAGTTGGCATTGCGTGTAAGATTAATTTAGTAAATTATAAATTAGTTCTTTTATTTGTTAAAAATAAATTATTAGTATCGTTTGTGTTAAAAATTAATTATTTAATTTTATGACAAGTCCTAGTTGTGTTTAATTTAATATTATTATATTTTAAAAAATATCATGTTTTTTCTTCGGTATTTTATTTTTCACTAATTTTTTTAATTGTTTTAAATAAAAAATAAATTAAAAAAGAAAAAATTATTAAATTACTAAAAAAAAGTTAAATATAAAGATTAAATAATTATTTTTAAAACAAGAGAAATTAATTGATTCATTTATCTAAACTAGAGGGATTAACTTATACTTTATTCAAGATAGACACCTTTGTTTCTTTGGAGGGTTGCTTGAATCTTTTGCCAACTATTTAGATGCTCTCTCGGCTTATTATCTTACTATTATCATTACCATAGTCACTAATAGATTAATTATTATTAGTATCGTTTGTGTTAAAAATTAATTATTTAATTTTATGACAAGTCCTAGTTGTGTTTAATTTAATATTATTATATTTTAAAAAATATCATGTTTTTTCTTCGGTATTTTATTTTTCACTAATTTTTTTAATTGTTTTAAATAAAAAATAAATTAAATATTTTAATTATTTTATTTAAAGTAAATTGATTCTATGATGTTTAAAAAATATTTATAGCAAATAGTTGGTATTATTTGTGAAAATGATAATTAATTTTTACTAAAACCGATTATTCAATAATTTTTTTTATACCTCTTGATCATACTTATTGGACTAAGACAAATTATATGAAATATATTTTTAACTTTATAGAAAAAAATATATTTTTGAGTAAATAAAATTTGATTAAAAATATTTATTGAATGAGGATTTTCATATAAAAAAAATGATGAACTCAAAGAATAAATTTTATACAATAAGAGTAATATAACCTAAAAAATATGTTTCTTTTAAAATATAAAAATAATATTATATATATATTTTATCCTTGTCATGCTGCGCAAAAAACAAAAATTATAACATTGGATATTCCACAGATTTTACCTAAAAATTCTTTTAAAAAATTAAAAAAGGAGAAAAACTAAAAATTAAAGAAAATAAAGAAGGGAGAAAGCTTGCGTGCCTGGGCCTAAAGAAGCAAGCCCACGCAGGCTTGGTAAAAAAAAATGGTTATTTATCATTTCCAACTATCTTTGCAATTTTCAAACGATAGATTTCATCGAAAAAAATCACTAAAATGTTGATTTTATTATTTTTGACTTTTCAAAACCAATTTCAGTCCCTTTTTTTGTTCAAAAAACACTTCAAAACCATTGAAATAACATTAAAAAAACTCGTTTAGAATTTGAAAATACATTTTAATGCATATAAAAATTTAAACCAAACTAATAACTCTGACCATTCTATGTCTTGTCATCATCACAAACAGATTCTACTTATCAAGACGAATAACTTGATAGTAAGATCAATTGTCGAGGTGGCTGGAATAGGCATCGTTGCTCGTCTCTCTCTTATGTTCTCTCTCCTCTTACAATATAAGGATCAAAACAAATAAAAAATAAAATATTAGATAAAAAATGTTTTTAAAAAATGAGGGACTAAAGTGCATATTTTTGACAAACAACATAAGTGAATAGTGATTTTAAACACAGAGCACAATGAATCCACAATGAACAATGATGAACAATTGATGCTACAATAAATCCATATTTTATTTTAATATACTAGTTAATATCTTAAATTTATCTAATTAACTCGATAATAATTTCTGTTGACTCTCTTCATGTAGTTATGTAATAATTATTTATATCAGCAAATAATTTGTATTTGAAGATATATAAAAAATAATTTTTAATAAAAAAAAACTTGAAAAAATAAAAATTACATGATTAAACTATTACCTTTTTTTTTTTTTTTACCAATTTGGCTTAGTTTTATTTTAAGACCGATCTCTATTAGTTTTCAATGAAAATATTAGATCATTTTCTATCTTTAAGGAATTTGGAGGAAATAACCTCTTTTATTTTAAGTTTATTTAGCTTTTGATGTAAATAAATCATTATTGACATGATCTGTTTATTTTGGACCTATTTTTTAATAGAATTTGTTTGGTAATATATGTTTTGTATGGATATAAAAATGTCATCTTATAAATAAAAGTATTTAATAAACCCGATGCATAGCTAATATTGAGACTCTCTATAATTTAACTATTAGATAAATTTAAAGAATGAAGGTTGGTTAGAAAAATTCAAAGAATTTTAAAGTTGATTGATCAAATTAAAAACATAAAAATAAAAGTGAATAATTGATGTGACTATGCAAATAAATTTAGAAATTTGTCAAAAAAATAATGCGCAATGTTTTTTTTTATATATAATTTGCACTATCTCTCCAAACCTTTAAAATTAGAGTAAGAAGAATTGGAAATTGTTTTTTTTTTTGTTAAAAAAAAAAAAAAAGAAAATTGGAATTTTGATTGGTATTGTGTTTTCTATGTAAAGTGCGTTTCCCTTGACAATTTTTTTCACACCGTCAATTCAATTCTGATAGCTGATATTTGTATCATTTGGCATTGATATACGTAGGATTCACACTGTAAAGATCAATTATTCATGAAGAATTATTACCATACAACTAAAGAAAGTGGAGACCAGTGATTTTTACTATTCATCTCGTCACAACTACTGTTCATCAATGTAGCTAAGGGTTTTTTTTTTTTTTTCAAGTTGTTTCACTATCCATACATGCCTTTCTTCTTCTTCTTTTTTTTTTTTACTTGCTTTTTTTCATTAACTTATATATATTTTTTTCAAATTGTTTCATTTTGGTCTATAATTACTATATAACTAAAAAAGATGGGCTGTTTGAATACTGATTTTCACTATTCATCTTCTCACAAATCACTATTCATTACCGTAACTAAGGTGTTTTTTTTTTCCAAGTTGTTTTACTATACATGCCTTTCTTCTTCATCTTTTTTCCTTGCTTTTTTTTTCTATCAATTTAGGTTTTTTTATTTTTAATTTTCAAATTATTTTATTTTCATCTCTAAAATTTTAATCCCTTAGCTGATACATTATACATGTTTTTTTTTCCTTTGCTTTTTTCATCAATTCATGTTCTTTTTATTTATTTATTTGATTAGATGTTAAAATTTTAAAAAAGCAATCGTTATTTTGTTTTTGATAAACTGATGATTATATAATATACATAATATATTTTTTATATTTGTTAGATATGTTTTTAAATAATAATACTATCCGTTTCTAAAATTGGTTCCGAAAAAAAAAATCAATAATGATCTCTTAGGTACTTACCAGGCCTGAAACTGACCCACACGCACAAACTGATTTCAATCTTATTTCAAGAAGAATAGCATTGCTCATCCAAATTAGTTTTTTGATGTGGTTCAACCAGTATTACTTAATTTTCCTGTTGGATGGAAAATCATAATATTTTATTAAAATTAAATATTATAAATCTGTCAAAAAATGTATGAAATATTTTTTAAGAAACTATACATCAAAGAGCTTTTTTTTTTCAATTTGTAGGATAAAAAAAAGGATCCAAATGCGAGTTGAGCTACGAATTCTTTTTGACTAATTTGTCAATGTAAAAAGTAATTCTGTCAATGTCAAACGTAATTTGATAGATGGCAGGCCTCCCTCCCATTTTGAAAAAAAAAAAGATGGACAGACTTAACTGTTTGAATCTCCTACTCTTCCTCCCTGCCATTTCTTCCTCCGAGAAAAAACCAAACCTTACTCTCCCCAAATCCTGAGGCCTCCATTTTCCTTATTTTCGAAAATCAACTTCTCTTCTCTTCCTTCCTCTCTTCCTTGTCATCAACTCCATCTCCTACCAACCTTAATTTCCACAACTTTTTTTAACAATCTTAATTTCCTCATATATGTACCCCACGTAAATTGCAATAGAGTCTGTTAGTTACTTTTAACATCTTTGAATCCTGAACTGTTGCATGTTTTTTCTCTTAACAAAGATATGAGCAGAGAGAAGTTTAATAAATTAAGACACAACCATTGTTGTTTTCTCTCTGTATCCATCTTTGTTGTTGCATTTGCTTTGTCATCGAGCCCTGCTTATTGTCAACAGTTCGATGGCTATGATAACAATCCGGCCTCACAAGAGCTGTTTTCAGAGCTGGTCTACAACAGTTTCTCAAATTTTACCTCTGTGTTCAAGCAAGATATTGCCAAATATTTTGGTTTCTGCATAACTGACGTGTAGATAACTCGGTCACTCTTTTGTTTTAATGTAATGTTAGATTTCAGGAATGAATGCTGATTATTAAAAGTGCTAATTTTCTTTTTGATTTGGATTTGCAGGGATGAAGATTGGAATATGGCCTTCAATTTCTCCAAAAAAACACAATTCCTATCCAACTGCGCCAAGAAAACAAACGGTACGTCCAAAGTTTGGAGCCTGAAAACAATGATTATTTGACAAAGGTTTTAGACTGATTTTTTGTGTATTTTTTACATAGGTTGTCTGCATTTTGGGGTTCATTGAATGCTGCACAACTTGAAAATTAATTCAACGGATATTTTGTTTCGATTCTCTTTCCCGAATTTATGGAAAACCAATTCACAAGCTGGAAAGAAAGAGTGATAGAGTATTTGTTTGGCAATAAATTTGCAAAGAAATTAATTTGAGTTGGAATCATTTGTTTAATCAGATGGTAGTTAATTTAATTTGGAATCAATTGTTTAGCAAGATGGAAATATTTATAGGCAATATCAAAAGCCTATATGAAAAAGCCAGTTAAAAGTTCTCTTCCTCAAACATAATAGGATTGAGATATAGAGCATTGCACATGCATGCCTGCTGATTCCTTTGTTCTATTACACAGCAATTTATAATGACTAATTTAATAGATTAAAATTAAAAGATTTGGTTTGCTTCTTTATATTTTATTTGATAAATTTCCCTCAAACTTGAGGAGACTTTTTATAGTAATTAGCATGCTTCTTCTAATTTCATTTATGCTATTCTTAATCGGATGTACTTTGGTACTTCCCTTAGTTTATAATGAAACGATATTATTGAAACACTTAGCTACTCTCTTAGTTTATTAATTCAATTTCTTTCTGTAGTAAATTTTCCTGACATTTCTCTCTCTTTTTTTTTTTTTGGGGTGCATAAGGAGATATGACAGCACGTATATGTACAGCAGCAGAAATAAAGTTCTACTTCAACAGTTTCTTTGAAAAAGGCTCAAAGAAAACCAATTATTTGAAACCTAACAAGAACTGTAATTTGAGCTCATGGGCTTCTGGATGCGAGCCAGGATGGGCTTGCGGAGTTGCTAAAGGTCAAAAGGTTGACCTCAGAAATTCAAAGGACATGCCTTTTAGAACTACGAATTGTGCAGCTTGTTGCGAGGGTTTCTTCTGCCCTCATGGTATTACTTGCATGATACGTACGTATTCCGACACTCATCATCAGCCATAGCAATAGTTAAGAATTGCATTTGTTATGTTCCCCCTGCTATTTTAGTTGCATTCCTTGGGCTTTACAAGTTCTGATTAGCATGAACAGATCTTTCTCTTAAAAATCTGTGTACATTGGACTTATGACCACTACTTTTTTCTTTACATATTCATTCTCAGTGATCGCACATCATGACCATTCTAATTGTAGCTTTGAATTTTGATGCCAAGGCCTTAAAAAGCGTTGGGGGTGTGGTTTGCACATCTCCACTCCAGAATCTAGATAACTCAAAGGCCATATTGTATGCTTTCAATCCAAAACTCTATTCTCCATATCAAAACACTCATTTTAGCTCCATTATGTCAAGAAGAAAGTATTAAAGGATTTTCATCCTTGATGAAGGAAAATTGGTGAAATGACCTTCCCAAATCCCAAGTCTGAGCCTCTTATTGCAATTTCATAAACTTATTCCAGGGAGGGGTGCATAAACTCATTTCCATATTTTGTCCATGCATTAGCAGAAAATAGAAGAAGATCATTCAATGGACAGAGAAATTTAGAGAGTATCCATTTTATATTTGGAGTATGAAAAATTATTTCTCACTTGAATTAAAAAAAAAAAAATCTGACTTTCCAAGTTGCCTTGAACATCCCTTTTCAGTTTTGGGTTCTAATAGAAATAGCATGAAACCGAAGTGTTCGTCCAGACAAGCCTAGGGAAGCACTTGTATACAGAACCCCCTTGCGTCTCTATCAAGTCACTGAATCTCTTTAGTGTTGCTCCTATTTCTAGGAGATGGACCCTTTGAAGCAACTAAGAATTTGTCTGATAGATGATATTGATATGATCACGGAACTTAAAAGAGTGCTTCTTGGAAAACAGTGATGGTATTGGAGTCCCATAAAAGGCATTCCCCGTTTCACCTGAATTTGATTCTGTGAAATTGTTTTGACAATGTTTCTAGCTTACATGGAGTTATTTTATCTGGGGCCTGGCCATCTTTTTTCATTTCTGAAGTTTAAATTGTTGTTTTCATTGGTTTCTTTCTAGTTGGTTAGTTTGTTGGATTCATTGTGCCGTAAGTTCCTAATCGAGCCACATCTAACATTCTTTATATGCTGACATTTTCTATCTTGTCTCTGAAGCTTGCCCGTTGGGTGCTTACTGTCCACTTGCGAAACTAAACAAAACCACTGGCATATGCGACCCGTAAGTTCATTCTTGTTTTGTGCTTTTGTAATTCAAGTTTTTCTGCTTTATCATACGTACATTAATATTTATTAGCAGAAATGTTTTGCAGATATCATTATCAATTGCCTCCTGGAAAGCCAAACCATACATGTGGAGGAGCAGATGTTTGGGCCGATATTTTGAGTAGTAGCGAGATGTTCTGTTCAGCAGGATCGTACTGTCCATCCAATATCGAAAAAATTCCTTGCAGTCGTGGGTATTGATAATTATCCTAGAACTTCCTGCAATTATCTATTGAATTGCATGTCTAACCTCTTCTTTGATGATAGCTTTTTTTTTCCTTCAAACATATCACACTACTCCTGTTACAAACAAAACTAAGCTGCTTTTTTTTTCCTTCAGACATTACTGCAGGACTGGTTCAACGTCTCAAACAGGTGGGCATTCTTTTACTAGTTTATTGAGCTTTACTGTGGTCATCAGCAATAGAACTACGCGTCCAAAGAAAAAAATAATAATAAATAAAATAAATCTATGCAAAGGATATTGTGTTTGTTGTATTAGTCTGTGCTAGTTTTTAATTCAGTTGCCGGGTCATACTTTTGTATGTGACTGTTCATTAAGAATCTAAGCCTTTTGGTTTAGAAGCATATAATCTTTAATGATGAACTTGCAGGGTGTTTTAAGTTGGCAACTTGTGAACCACGCTCAGCAAATCAGAACATCACTGCATATGGCATTTTATTTTTCGTGAGTGATCGATTTACCTTTTAATCATTTACTGATAATGTATTTGAGTTTCCATTACTATATCATAAGCTCTTCTACCATTACGAGAAATTGGCAAAAAAAGTATCAGAATGCACACAAACTAAAACTCTTCTTTCATTGACAATATTATTGCCCTAGAGCTGCTTTGATTGTTTTCCAGGCTGGATACATTATTTTGTGCTCTTGTTCCTTCTTATTAAACCACCTAGGAAAGATGTGGAATTGAATTCGAAGCGGCAGTTACCTCTTTCCAAATGCTTACCTGAAAACAAATTTGAATAAATATTTACCTTGCGCGTCCTATTTTTCACCTTTCAAGATAGTAATGAAAACTATTTGGCACTGCAGTTTCTGTTGGTGGGAAATATTGATGATATACTTCAGAATCACAATGTTTTGTGATATAAGTATGCATTATAGGTCATCATTTTTACAAAACTATCAGGTCTGATGGCTTCACTTGTCAATGTAGGCTGCACTAAGCTTTCTGCTTATCATTATCTACAACTGTTCGGATCAAGTTCTTGCAACTCGAGAGAGAAGACAAGCAAAGACAAGGGAAAAGGCAGTTCAAAGTGTAAGAGAAACTGCACAAGCACGTGAAAAATGGAAATCTGCTAGAGACATTGCCAAGAAGGGTGCAATTGGACTGCAAACGCAGTTGTCACGCACGTTTTCTCGTACGAAGTCTAAAAGGCCAGCAGAACAGCTAAAAGGTTTTGGTCAAGCTAAACCCGGAACAGATGCTGCTTTACCACCCATGCCTGGGGGCAGTTCATCTCAGCAATCGTCTGAAAAAGGGAAGAAAAAGGAGAAGAGCAACCTCTCACGGATGATTGATGACATTGAGAACAATCCCGAGGGTCATGAAGGCTTCGATTTTGAGATTGGAGATAAAAATATCAGAAAGAATGCACCAAGGGGTAAGCAGTTGCATACTCAGAGTCAAATGTTCAGATATGCATATGGACAGATCGAGAGGGAGAAAGCTATGCAGGAGCAGAACAAGAATTTGACCTTCTCTGGGGTAATTTCAATGGCTAACGAGATTGAAATCAGTAAAAGGCCTACTTTGGAGGTTGCTTTTAAAGATTTAACCCTCACTTTGAAGAGTAAACGCAAACATCTGCTAAGATGTGTGACTGGGAAATTATCGCCTGGCCGAGTTTCTGCTGTAATGGGTCCATCTGGGGCTGGAAAAACAACATTTCTTTCTGCTTTGACAGGAAAAGCAACTGGTTGCACCATGTCTGGTATGGTTCTTGTAAATGGTAAAATGGATCCAATCCAAGCATACAAGAAAATCATCGGTTTTGTTCCTCAAGATGATATTGTGCATGGGAACTTAACAGTGGAGGAGAATCTCTGGTTCAGTGCAAGATGCAGGTATACAACTATAAATTCACCATTCAATACCAACCACAGTATTGTTAGTCTCAGATCCAACAAGTTTTCATGCATCGAACAAAATGTAGGTATCTGGTGTTAGTCCTTCTTGTGTTAAACCAACATTGACTGACACAAGCCCCTAACTGGTGGGAAGTAGAACCTGGCTTTCACGGATTGTTAAACAACAGAATCTATTAAATGATTTTCATGGTAACGCATTTCAGACTCATGGACATTGAGTTGGCGAACATCTAAAATTGTGAACATCGCTAGAACTTTATATGCGTTAGGTGGTTAATTTTGGTTGTACTCATTTATATATACTCTTTCTACCAAACAAGGGAACTTAGCTGTGCTAAAATTTTCTGAATGTATCTGTTAGTATGGTTGATGGCATTGGAGCTTCCTGCAAATTTGGAATTCCGTCATGGTGTCCAAAGATTTTTTTCATAATAGACGAAAACCTTTTTGTTTCTTCTATCAATCTGCTTGGCATCATTCGCACAAACGCACATATATATATATATATACATGAACATTTTTCTCAATACAACAAGAGTGTCCAGTTGTTCTCTCTTCTCTGTTTCTGCTTTGTTATCCATTGTTTTCTTAGATCCCCCCTCTCACAGACATACCCCTTTATGTACTAATGTGCGCTGCCTGCTTAAATATTTCTCTCACCCTCTCTTCCGTACACTCGCAGTCAAATTCTATGACTGTTCAACAGTACTTGCCTTTTCTAGCATACATATTTACTGGGCTTTTTTGTTATTGTAGACTCTCTGTTGATCTACCAAAACCAGAAAAGGTTCTAGTTGTTGAAAGAGTTATTGAGTCCTTGGGCCTGCAGGCAGTGCGAGATTCTCTGGTTGGAACAGTGGAAAAGCGAGGAATTTCTGGAGGTCAAAGAAAACGTGTCAATGTTGGTCTTGAAATGGTTATGGAACCTTCACTTCTGATATTAGATGAACCAACATCTGGCTTGGACAGTTCGTCCTCCCAGTTGCTACTTAGAGCTCTTCGACGTGAAGCTCTTGAAGGAGTAAACATATGCATGGTTGTACACCAACCTAGGTAATTTACTCTTTCTATTACGATAAAGAGTTGGTTTTCAGATTATGTAATTTAGTGGTCGTGAAAGACTATTAACTTTCGTTTTTTTTACCTTTCCTTTTCTTGGTTGCTTCAGCTATACGTTATTCAGGATGTTTGATGATTTGATACTTCTAGCTAAAGGTGGCTTGATAGCATATCACGGATCCGTAAAGAAAGTCGAGGAGTATTTCGCTGGTCTTGGGATTACTGTACCTGAGCGTGTGAATCCTCCAGATTACTTCATTGACGTTTTGGAGGGCATAGCAAAACCAAAATCAGGGGTGAACTATAAGCAACTTCCAGTTAGATGGATGCTTCATAATGGATACCCAGTTCCGATGGATATGCTACAGAATACGGATGGACTGGGAGCATCCTCCGCTGAAAATTCCGCCCATGGAGCAAGTGAATTTGGATCTGAAACAGAGTCTTTTGCTGGAGATTTTTGGCAGGATTTGAAAGCTAATGTTGACTCGGGGAAAGACCACAATTTGTCTAAGTCAGGCGACTTATCCGGACGGAGAAGCCCTGGAATATATCAGCAGTATAGATACTTCCTTGGGAGGTAAGGGCAATCTCATTTCTCTACTTGTGGCCCATGTAAAGCGTAACCCTCTATTACGATATATATATATATATATATATATAAGAGCAAGCCTCTATTATCATTATGATAATGATTACAGTGATTAATATACTAATTGAAGTACTGTGTAATATCCTTTCGTATCTCTCAAGCAAAATCACTTATTTTTTGAATGATCAGTTTTATCAAGTTCGTGTTCATAATAAAAAATTAACTTTATCCTCTTGAATGGCTTATTTGCAGGACTGGAAAGCAGCGGCTACGAGAAGCAAGGGCACAAGCTGTGGATTGTTTGATTTTATTGCTAGCTGGAATCTGCTTAGGAACACTAGCTAAAGTGAGCGACGAAACTTTTGGGGTTCTTGGTTACACATACACCGTCATTGCAGTTTGTAAGTGATCAAAACCTCTCGAACCTCTTGTATATGCAAGGCTCCATTAGAATTTTCATGCTTGGGAAGTAGGCTTTTGATGTTGAAATTGTAGGGCAACTTGTGATCAAATTTGCACTCTATTAGGTGCATGTTGCTTTGCATGCCAGTTTGTCTTTTTGATCGAAAATTAGTTTCCCTATGTCCCTTTATGAAGGGATCTTTTGTACAAGGTTTATTCTCACCAATCTAAATGTTTGTCGGACTTTCAGCACTCCTGTGTAAGATTGCGGCTTTGAGATCATTTTCTCAGGATAAGCTACATTACTGGAGAGAGAGATCTTCTGGTATGAGCAGCCTAGCATACTTTCTTGCAAAGGATACTATAGACCATTTCAGCACGATCATCAAGCCACTCATCTATCTGTCAATGTTCTACTTCTTCAACAATCCAAGATCAACAGTCTTCGATAACTACATAGTCTTAATCTGTCTGGTGTATTGTGTGACGGGAATAGCTTACGCGTTGGCCATTTTCTTTGAACCTGGTCCCGCCCAACTGGTGAGCATTCGAATTACAGTTTGCATCGAGAACTTGTTAGTTCCATAAATTAATTTGACAAAACATGAATTTTCATCACCCTTATATATATAATAAACAGACAAGATCGTCCACATACGCATGCAGCAATAGTTTTCTCTGCACTAACGAGGCATTTTTTGCGCCGTGCAGTGGTCGGTGTTGCTTCCGGTTGTTCTGACCCTGATAGCAACCAATACAGAGAACGGAATTGTCGTGGATTATATATCTGACTTGTGCTATACTAAGTGGGCATTGGAAGCATTTGTGATATCAAATGCTAAAAGGTCGGTGCCTGACTTAGATATTGCTTCTCGATCCATATGTGGAAATTTATCTATATATGCATATAATGCACCAACTTACCTTCTGATTATTCTGTCTTTCAGATATTATGGAGTTTGGCTGATAACAAGGTGTGGTTCACTCATGGAAAGTGGGTATGATCTAGGTCATTGGTATCGTTGTTTAATCTTACTAGTTTTCACCGGTATAGCTAGTCGTGTTGCTGCCTTCTTTATTATGATTACCTTCCACAAGAAGTGAAATCTTTCCCTACTCTTTCTTTTTGTACAAAATAGAAAAAGAAAAATCAATTCAAAGACTCTTTCTCCCACCGAGATAACTTGCATACATTATTTGAAAGGAAATTTGAAGTCATGCTATACATAGACGGGGGTCTGGAGCTAGTAGTGCAGAAATTAAATCATGATGCTAAGGTGCCAGATTCGTGTAGAGAGATAGACTTTCTTTTTCTTCCCTATTTTAGCCCCAACATTACACACGAGGGATAGAAATTTATAACAAAAACCATTTTATCACAAATTTCTCCATAGTACTGAAAGTTGTTGAATTTTAATTAACGAAGTCAATCATCCCTTATTTTGCGCAAGATCTGGTCTGAGCAAGAGATTTGCTTACTGAAGTCTTGTCCTATATGAAGCAAATTGTTCCTAGAATCCTGTTCAACTAAGAGTATGATAGCAATTAGCAACAATCTTTTGTTCCCGGGACAAAGGAGGTACTTCAGAATATGCGTGATGGTCACAGCAACACAACAATGCTAATTAATTAAGTTGCAGCTCATCTCCTTTAATCTCTTTTTTTTGTAAAAAATAAAAAAATATATTAATTTGAAGAGAATTTTCATTAAAAAAAATGATAAATTCAAAAAATAGATTTTAAATAATATAAATTGAAATATATATTAACTTTAAAGTATAAAAAGATATCATATATATTTTATTTTAGTGATAAAAAACGAAAAAAATACGAAAAATAACATTTGATGTTATGTAATTTTAACCTAAAAATTCTTAATTTTTCAAATAACCCTGGTAAAAAAAAATAGAAATATCTTTTTAATTTTTCAAAAATTGCTTTGGAAGAAGCGCGCAATTGGTCAAAGCAATCTTAAACAACAATTTGAAGGCTAGACCATGTGCAAGGTTGAAAACTATGTAAGTCCTAGTCGTAATTTATAAGGCTTGTAGTCAAATTCTCCTTTTTCCTCAATTAATATCAATCCAATACTGTTTTTCATTAACAACCCAAATTCTGTTAATTTGGCTTTAATCCTCAGCAACCGCTCTGATATATTTCTAAACTCCAGATAAAAAATAAGCCAGATATATATACTTATGTAGTAATGCAATTACAATAATTACTTTATACTGCAAACAAATGAAGTCCCAAATTCTCGTCTTTTTCATTTTTTTTTTTTTTAAAAAAACAAGAAGTTCCAAATTGCAAAACAGTGCCTAAATGATTACACCAAGAATATTAAGAAATAATGATGTAATGGGTTAATTATCGTGCCAAGGCTTTGTCAGCAAATTTTGACTAGAATAGTCTTTCTTGAAGAAACTTCAATGCAGGTACGTAGGTTAAGGCTCTATTGCACGGACGATAGTAGTAGTGGGAAAAGTAAATAAGAGTACCGTTTATAGAATTTCAGCACCTGAAATTTTCCAATGTTGACTGGTCACCACCATCTCTATTGTTTGATGTAATATATATGACTTTAAGCACGTATTTATTTGACTGCTCGTTCCAAAATTCTTCAATTTGTACTATATTGGATCTTAATTTTCAAATTCGAAGAAACGTATTTTTGTTGATTAGATTGATCATAATTGAAATGTGAACCCATGCCAACGACCCCTTTTCTTCTTATTCCACATGCATGCATCTATACTAAAATTAAACATGTAGAATATATAGAATTGTTAATTAGCGGGGAAAAAAAATGCCAAAACCCTTTCTTATCACTCAATCTGCTTAAATGTACTTCATTTTCAATGGTAGTTTTAGTTACTTCTTCTTCTTCTTGTTTTATTTTTTGTTTTTTGATTCCATAAAGATTAGATGAGTTTTGAACTAGATTATACAGATGGGTATAAATTCCATCTTTAAATCCCATGTCGTTTTTTAATAAAAAAACCTTCAAATGAAAATTCTAATATATAGCGGGATATTTTCTTAAAGAGATATGGCTGGTAGTATATGCATGTTAGAGCTTTGCATCTTGATGTTTTTCAATACCGATAATGATACGAAATAGGGCACATCTGAATACTGACCTTCATTAAGTTAAATGATTTAAGAGCCTAAACAATTCGTATGCGTCGACAAGCGTTTAAATTTTGCACAATTGTTGTAGGTACCACATCTTGTATGCTAGTTTGTTTGGTGTGGCCAAACCAAATCAGAATCTGTGTAGTTTCATTTCAATATTGATTGTGTTGATAAATGTTCTTCTTGAACTGTTTCCCAAACTCGATACGATTTTGTGTGTACTTGAATCGAGTTGGCGGTACTATCTCCATTTGTTACGATAATTATCATTTATTAAGAGCGACTAAAATTTGAAACTCCTAAGTTAACTGGTTAATCTGCTTGAAATTCTCTTACAATAATTTTTTTACCAAATCAACGAAACTTGGAACTTTGCCAATTAAACTCGAACGTGTCAAGATATAGCTCGCTTTGTGTTCAATTCCGCGTTTAATCTGTCCCCAATATTCTTTTCAACATCACAAAGAAAATGGCTTCTGAAATTTTAATCAAAAGTCTATTCAAATATTTGAAGGAGACAAATGATGTCACTATCAAGCTATTACATAAGCAAATACCTATGGAAAAACCATGGATGTATAAAATCTATGTGCTGTATGATATTTTTTTCTCCTAATTATTTTTATCCTATATTAAAAATATGATTAATCATATTCAAAACAAAAATGGTAAGCTTTAATCTCTTTTAACAAATATAATTTCAAAATTCAAATTCTATATATTAAAAAAAATACTTGAAAATCATTTTACTTATTATTAAACCAACAACTTGTTACTCTAAGGTACTTGTTTGATAATCAAGAATGAAGTAGTTTGAATGAAAATTGAAGTTTTATTCTCACATGTAATTGTTTGGTTAAAAAAAATGAAGTGAGAATGAGAATGAAGAGTAGAAATGGGAATAAAAATTTACACGTAACTTTATTTCCATATAAGACGTGGAAATAAAAATAAGAAATGAGAATGAAATTTTTTTTCAAAATAATAATATATTTTATTTATTTATTATCCAATTAACTATTTTTATCACCATTACCACCACCACCACCATCATCGTCACCATCACTACCCCCACCACCACCACCATCACCAGAAACCCCACTATTATTATTACAACCACTACCCTCACCATCACTATCATTAGAATCATCATTGTTATAACCATTACCATCACATTTATTATTTTTACAATCATTATAGTTTGATAAAATTATTTTTATTTATATAAAAAATAAAATATTAAAAAATTTAAATTATATTTTGATTTTTTATTAATAATCTAAATACAGTATAAGAATATAAATTTTATTCTGATTCTGATATTTTTATCCATATCATTTTATTCATGATCACCGAACAGCCCTTAATGATTTATAATATAATTACTACTAATATCAGTTGATTTTATTTCACGTGTTATAACATACATTTCATGTCCGTGAAATTCTGCGTGCATTTTGCGAGTCCAAGTTGGAATGAAAGTCATCAAACATGCGCAACAATGGCCAATAGGATTTCACGATAAAGAAAAAATAGACGAGGTAGATGTCGCAGTTGCTTGAAATTTGTTATATAGTGTACTTACGGCTGTATTTCCTCAAAAGTGGTCCTTTCCTTATACATACAACAAAAACGTAAAATAAAAACGTTTTCTTCAGCGATCACATGATAGGGGGAAAAAAGGAGTTTCTTTTTAATGGTGAATAAAAATGGAATCTTTGCCGTAGATGGAAAATGAAAGGTCGTCCTTTCTCGGCTTCAAATAATTTGGTACAGAGCCTATCTCAACTCGGGAGGCCGTATGCCGCTGTACACAACTGACCGACAATATTTCAAACCATAAGCCCAATTTTCATTAATTACACTTTCGAAATATACAAGACTTCTGTTTTGGTTCCTGGTGAATATTCAAAACCCACATGTTCATTAGGTAGTATATAATATCTCTGATCTTCCAATAGTGGAAGAAAAATAATTTGCGAAACCCTTGCCCTTAAAAGAGGATTTAAAAAAAAAAAAACCCTCGAAGGTAACTCTCCTTTGTCATCATAAATTACACTTAAAATGACTGGTCAAACCACTAACACACGCATATATATATAACTCAATTAATTAATTTCACTCTGGCATAAAGTCACCTACAACTGGACTAACAACAGTTGCAGCGTAGCCTTTTCAAATTCAGTGACCCCTGACCTACCCAGTAAATATTAGCTCTAACATATGATATGATTATCAGCACAACGATGGTAGCAGGGTAGCACAACCTATTTATCAGTTTTTTTTTTTCTTTGAGGAAAAAGTTTTAAAATCAAATACAGCATAAAATGTGGGTTGATTGTTTCAACTCATGGCTATTAATCTCTTTTAGGCCGGCAAAGATCGATTCAAGTGGTAAGAAAGAAAATTCATTCAATTTTAAGGATTCAAGTTCAAGTACTGTTACTAGTTTCTTTGTTTTAATTTCAACACTCAATATCAATTCTTATTTACAAAAGAAATTAATGTTTTCTAGAAAAACGATAGAGATGTAACAAATGGGATGTCTCCCGGTGTTATGGCTGCCAACTACCACATATCTCGTCAGCAGCTCAATCCGGAAACAACGAGGAAGCACATCACTTTAATTGGTTGATACACTCCCTTCTAAAAATTCTCCTTAACTCTTAAGATTTGAAGTTTTGAATCTCTCGTAATTAATAAGAAGGATTTATATATAACAAAACTGCTCTTTATTACTTAACTCCATGTTTTTTAAAAAGCAAAATAATCACCATTAATTTAACCATTTATGCGTCTCTTTAAACTAAAGACCAAAAAAACAAAAACACAATGTTTTTTTTTTTTTTGGTGTTTGAAGTGTGGTAACTTTGCAAGAGGGAATAAGATCTACCGCTAGTAGATGCATATATGAAAACGAAATGACAGGAAGGAAAACAACAGAATAATATTTTTGAAAACACATGCTCTGACCGAGAAATTAAAGAGCTTCCTACGATGTGACGACTATGATCGTGGGAACTTTAACGATGGCCTCGTTTTGTTCGGAGTGGTAAAATTGCTAATGCTTCGTGGCTATTCAGTATTCACATGTATATATGGAGCTATATATTCGGGTAAGGATTGTTGTTTTGGATAATAATCAGAAATCATTTTTTCTTCACCTGATCTGTTTTTTTTTCCTTACCTGAATTTACTTTATCAGATTAAGTGATTCGGGTAATTCAGATAATCCTTTTTTCTACCTAAAATACTAAAAAATTGCAATTAAGTAGCTAAAATTATATGCAAAAAATAAAGTTTTGGCCAGACAAAATTAGGTACAAAAAAATTATAAGATTATTAATTTTAAAATTATAAATAAAAAATATAATTCAAGTAATTTGGGTTGCCCAATTTTCTTTCTAATTTTACATTAAATTGACTGAATTTTTTTAGATGATTATCCAAATCTCTCATTCTTTTAAAAAATTTGTTATCCATTAGTTTTCAGATGACTCGAGTGTTTTTTTTTTTTCTAAAGTTAAACTGTCAAATTCTCTTATTGTACGAAATCAAAATTTGGTCAAAACCAACCCACATATAATATGGTCGTTTAAACATGACTACAAGGGTTGCTTTAATATTTTTATTTCTTTAATTAATCCATAAAACCTTTTACATTATGAAATTCTTAAATGTTGAATTATTAGATATTACATGATCAGGAATATCCTTCGGTTATAAGGATTAGAAATTAATTCACGGCCTTCTACATCCTAGTCTAGACGAAAGCCAAACCACGTCCTTTTTTTCTTTTTTTCTTTTTTTCAAATTTATCAACCACTTCTATTAATCCTTTAATAACCGCAATCATATAATTGTGAGAAAGTATAGAGCACGTATGGTAATTGTACTATACTTTTAATATCAATTCATTTTTAACGTGTCGTTTACGACACCTAATATGGGATAAAGAAGCTGCTGGAGGCTAACGATTGAGCACGCCGCCTTCCAATCCAACCTTTATTTATAACTAGCCAAGTAGTTCGTATGTTTTCTTCTACTCTTCTACTCCCTCTCTCTCTCTCTCATTCATGGACAACTACTCATTATTTCTTCCATTTTCATCTTCCGCAGCCACATCTGCTTCTTCCATGTCTTTGAACATGGTACACAATTCTCATGCTTCGACTAACTTTGAAGGTAGTAAGGGAAATGGATTGTTGGGATTGATGCAAGAGATGGATCAAGCTCCGGCCAGTTTAAATTTTGATAGCATCTCTCAAAACAGAGGCTTTGTTGGGTCTGAAACTGAGGGGAAATTGGGAAAGAAAAAGGGAGAAAAGAAGATAAGAAAACCTAAGTACGCTTTTCAAACGAGGAGCCAAGTTGATATACTCGATGATGGATATAGATGGAGAAAGTATGGTCAAAAGGCAGTGAAGAACAACAAATTTCCCAGGTAACTATGTATGTTCTTTCATTTTATTTTATTTTCGATAGCTAACTATATATGCTCTTTAATTTCTTTGAATACAACATATCTAAAGGATTCCGCATATTATTAATTAAGTCAAAAAATTCAATACTATGGCATAATTAATACTCTTAAATATTTTTTTCCTTAAGCAAAACGTTCAGCAGAAAAGCTCTTGCTTGGTTATAAAATATGCCGAAACTGATAGAATTAACGATGACTTGCCTCCAGTATTTTTTTCATTCATATCCAAACATCGTAATTTAAATATTAATTTGACTTAATTAAGTTTTAGCTGCAACTTGCAATTTCGCAAGCTACTTGGGTTGAGTTGCATGGATTCTTTATTTCTATTTATGAGATTGGATCGATTTTCAGTTAAAAATCTTGTCTCCTCCAAAGCATGCATATTATAAATATATTAATTATATACTGGACCAATGTCTCGTTATTTATATATTTTCCTTTTTTTATATATAAAACAAAATTGGTTTTTAATGTTTAAGTACTAGTTAAATTGTAATCACTGTTTAATTAGTTCTGTATCATAATCTTAATTACGCAACGTTTTGGTTGCAGATTGAATTATTATTTATTTATTTTAGTTTGTTAGTTGATCAGTCGCTAAGTATTTATCATAACGGAGTGAAATATTAAGAAATTGGGAGCTGTAAAGGCTAATCCAATAATCACTATTAATTTTTTTTTTACTTAGAATCGTGATAGTACGTAGTAATAGTAAGATAAGAGAGGCTCTGATCATATATATGCATGGGATTCAAAACTAGGAACAAAAATATATACAGAGGAGAAATATTGTTCATTGCGATAATTGCACTATAAATACACAAATTAATATATAAACTGTAATTTTCTTCATTTGATTATGTTAATTTTTTTTTCAAAATTATCAATTAAGTATTTTTCATTCAATGTTTTCCAGTTATTTATGATGCATGCCCTAAGTATTAAATTACCATTTTGTTTTTTACTTTTTTGTGGGAACTTACCCTTTTCAATTATTTTGCATTTTTTAATTTTTTATACAGTAAATACTCAAATTGTCCTTTGTATCTAAATAGAAAATGAACAAATAATTTGATAAAAGGGAAAAATTGTAATTTAAAAGCATGAAGTAAATTGGATGGAAATATTTATTAATAGTTTTTACAAAAATCGATATACTCAAACAAAAAAATTAAACTTTATATGCTCAATTGAAAAAACATTAAAAGTTGGTATATCTACAGAGTAATTATTCAACTATTATCTGGTGGCACTACTACTTCAACATCTATCTCAATAATTAAGTAATAAATGTTAATTTTTAAAACAATTTAGTGAATTTCTAGCTCGTAGGTTAGGTCATAATCTTGGTTTTCCTTGCTTCAGTTGAAGAAGCCAACGATAGGAAAGTAATTCGTATTCTACATGCATGATTAAGAAATGTTTTGGAATAATGAATAATTTGGATGATGAATACGTGAAAGATTTTAATTATATTGAAGAATAATTTATTAATTAATTACTGCTTCCTTGAGGTAGAAGAACATGGACCCATTTATTACGTACGTACATTTGGTGAAAGAAAATTATTGCGCGATCGATCTCCTTGACCAAATATCTGAAGTAGTCTTGGTTGGTTAAATTAAAGTAGCTTAATTGACCCAATTAAACATGTAAGTCTATATAAATAATTATTTCTTTGGTTGCTGTCTACAGAAGCTACTATCGGTGTACACATCAAGGATGCAATGTGAAAAAGCAAGTTCAAAGATTAACTAAAGATGAAGGAATCGTGGTGACAACCTATGAAGGGATGCATTCACATCAGATTGAAAAGTCTACAGATAACTTTGAGCATATATTGAGCCAGATGCAAATCTACTCCTCATATCCTTCTAATTAAGTCCCTATCATAGATCAATAGAAGAAATCATCGCACCGAAATTTATTACATTTGTGCATTAATTATACAGTACTCCACTCCATATGTGTCACTCTTTTATTAAAACCAAAACAAAAAATTAAACCTCAAAACGCCAAAATAAAACGTGCTATACTTTTATATGCATGCACAATTAAGCTAGCTATCATATAGACTATTCATTCTCGTTGTTAATTTGTCAGCTTCTATTCACTATATACATAATATTACGTTGAGATGGGTCAAATACAATTCCTGTTTCTGCTTCCTTGCCTTGTATTATACATGCAGCAATGATTTTTCTATATCCACACACACATATGTACATGTATACAAACTAGCATATTTGCTTGGAGAGTTTGGAGTTAATATATATATACTGGAATTTTGGTCCAGCCAAAAACTTCGATTAATGAAGGCATTGTATATATGTTTGTCTTCCCTTACCAAAGTTTCGACTAATACCCATATTTTAGAAAAATAAATCATTCATTGAACATTTTTCTATAAAGATGAAAGAAAAATACTTGGACTAATATTTTTATGTTTGTTTTTGCGTCTGTTTATACAAATAATTTAGCATATAACTATTTATTTAAATCAAAACCAATACAGCAACTTTTAATGAATTAAAACATACGATGATATACATATTGTCGTTTTATAATTTCATGAAAGTTTAAAACATTAATTTTTTACCTGAAAAAGAAGGAAACAAAATCAAAAAGACTTAAACAGTGAGAGATTAATCGAAATATTTAAATTTAGGATACTCGAGGAATAAAAGAATAATGAGCAATTAATCTAGACATTTAGACTTTGGATAGTCTAAGAATAAAAAAATATATTATACTTATATTTTTATCACTCTGTGTTTTACAGTTCGGTGAGTTTTGTGGGTGGTTGATATAGAAGGAAAGACTAAATCTAAATGTAACATTCTGGTTTCTTTTAATTTATTGAACATAGTAGGCCAAAGCCGAAGGACTCGTAGACAAGCAAAATTTGAAGAGAAAAAAAGAGAGGAGCAAGTTAGTTTGGGCCTTTTTTGGGTTTACGTTTATAGGATTGAAAATTTTTCAATTGGGGTCCGTTTTAGTCTTAATTCACTTAGTTTATATTTCGACACTTTTGGGTTAGCATAGCAGAAGCAGACGAGGCAAAAGTTCCAGACTGGCGAGAATACTTTTAAACTTATTTATCAAAATAAATATTTATTAATATAACTCTATTTCTTCTCATCTGGCTTTAAGCTTTCCAGATAAAGCTGGAACTCATCCTCATCCTCGATTTCTCTTCTTCTCTTTCCTGCCTGAGCATGACATATTCATCTAGCATGGCAAGGAGAGGCATACCATCATATGCAAACTGTATGCCACGATCATCTTTCGAAGCCTGTGTTTTGGCAACCAAGTTATCGACCAAGGCTACATGGCCAACAAAACCAATTAAATCTCTGGATGCAGATTTTCCATTGCATCAACATACAAAGTTTAAAAAGAAAGGATGTTGATTTGCAACGGTCTCATTACATACCACCTCTACGATTTCCATCCCCTACAACTTCATTTGGCCATTAAGTTAAACTGAGATAAGTTACTTGTATATGTTCTCATCATAACCGACTTTCACATAACATAAGTAATATCTCCACTTTGCTGTTTAATTTATTTGTAGTCTTCTCATACAAGTCGAAAAGCATTTGAAGAAAATATGGATAACAGCATTCCGTGCCATGGATCGATGACATAAAGGAGACTGTCTGAAATGTTATTGACAGATTATGCCGTGCTATTACGCCATTAACAACACGGCTATGTGATGTTTCACTTACCGAAGTATCAGATGCTAGAGAAGCAATGGGGATTGTTCTGCCTTTGTTGTTTGCTGATGGCATTTTAAGTAAAGTCAGCACTATTCGCAAAACATCAATCGGTGTTGTTATGAAGCTTTCAAAGGTCAGACATAATTAGCAATGTCGTCAAGCTGAGTTGAGTGCAATAACTGTGTTTCTGATAACATTCTACTACCTTTGATTGCCCCATGAAACACCAATATATCGAAGCCACCTTTGAAATTTTGAGGTTTTCATTATTTCTAGTTTACTGTACATGAATAATGGAAAAAGGTTTAACAGTGTGACTGAAGAAGATAAGAGGTGACAGATGAAAGGCAGAAAGCTAAAATGTAAAAATCACATATTCTCATGGATGCAAAGCCATTGAAAGATGAGACATACTCGGTGGAATTGGAGAAGACAGCTCGTAGTATTGAGATATCTAGTTTTTTATGGAGAGCATTAAACTTGGTTGGAGACGCAAATCATGCTTAACATTGGAGAGGAGAAGAAGGCAAATTAATTGTAGAAAGAAAAAAGAGAAAAAAGTTATGTAGGTGAAAATATCTTATATGGCAAAAAATTATCAAGTTTGAGAATTAAGTTTTAAACTATGGTTTTCAAAAAATAAAGATTTAAAAATATCTTAATTTAATAAAAAACTCCACTGAGGAGGGCATTCGTGCTATCCGTTATAACCTTTTCTGGGGATTTTTTTTCTTGGCCCTCACTGCCCATACTGTGCCTTCACCCCGGCTTGGTTCTTATTAACTCTCCAGTTCTCTTTTATTAAGGGAGAGAAAAAAATCGCTCCAGCTCTAAAATATTATACAAAATCGACCCTCGAAACAATTTAAATTAATAAATTATGCTCTTGTGATGCAGATTTGAAGTACGAAAAGTGTATGCGTTGCAAATTCTAAACAAAAATCATGTAGTCTTGTTCTTCGTTATTGGGTTTAATTTTGGATACAGCGCCCACGAAATACTACTACACTTTAGCCAGGCCTTTGTGCTGCTCGGTTCCAGGCCCATCCACGCGAGCCTGGCTTCCCTCGGACCTGGCTTCCCTTTCTTTTGTTTAACTTAATCCCAGTTATTTATTAATGTCAACTTAAGTCCCTTATTTGACATATTTATAAATGAGTCCTTAGGCATTTTTTAATATGATACGAAGCATTAACATTCAAAAATATATTTCTTTTTTTATAAAAAAACTTTTTGAATATTTTTCAAATTAATGAATTCATTTTTTCATTTAAATTTATTTGGATTATTTTTCTCCTATCCAAACTTTTTTAGAGATTGCATTCAAGATTTATATTACAAATTTTATAAGATTTATGATAATCAAACTTATCGTAATATCACCACTAAAAATAAAATTAAACTCTAAAAATAAAATTAAACTCATACTACGTGTAAATTATCCTATACCTAAAAAACACCTTTGTAAAATAGTATTTATATTAAAAAAAAAAAACAATGAGCAACTATAAAAGTTAACAAAACTCTTATAATTTCTTTTTTCTTCGGAGTTTTGAGTCTCTTAAGTTTTTACATAGCTATTGCCATTGGGGGTAGCATTTTTTTTTCCAAAGTTTTCTTTCAATAATCCTAAATCTAATATTCTTTCTACTAAATTTGATGTTTTTAATGTATTTATCTAATTTATTTAGTATTTGTCTAGTTTTTTTTTTTTTTTTTTTTTGTAGTTTAAGGTTGTTTTTTCAATACAAGTTTTAGATAGAATGCTAATATTTCAGCATTCATATACTTTGTCTAGGTAAAAAAAAAAAAAAAGTATCAAGTGAAAAAATCAAGCTAATAGATTTACCAACGGATTGCATACAAAAAATGTGTCAATTGTTCATTCACTTGTAGAATAATTTTTAATCTTTGGATTTGTATTTTAAATATTTAGTTTTTACATAAAATTTTTATTATTTGATTTTGAATGTTCATACAGTGACATGTAAGTCTGCTTTATTTTGTATATAGAAAATGATTTTATTTTTGATTTGGAGACATAAGCTATTCTCAATTTTAATTTAATAAAAAAATATTTTTAATAAAAACAGAAAACAGTAACAAAACTTGAATTCATTAATTAGTGCATACTAATATATGTAGGATTAATAAATAGTTAGAGCCAAATTTGGCAACAATATCACCTTGTCATTCGTGATAGCATATGAATAAGAAAATGTTCTTTTACTTTCATATAATCTATTCCTTTTCATTTCATCATGATTATTACTCAAATCACCAGAATATATACATGAAGGATAATTTTGGAGTAATAAAAATTAAAAAGAATAAAATGTAAAGAACACACTCGACTGTTGCTGATTCGCTGAACCACAGGCGCCCACTGGCACTATCCAATGAAATAAAAAACATAAAAAAGCACAGAACAGGCGAAGGGATATTTCCGTAATAAAATAAAAAAGAGAAATAAGGGTATTTTCGCATATTCAATTGTAAAAAGAAAACCGAGATTAGAGGTGGATTAGCCAACACATCGACAAATAGGGTTAGTTGCGTCGTAGCTACTTAGCCCGGCCGAGGAATACTTGATTCGCTTCCCTGTTTCTGACCTCACTAATAATCTACACAGTCGCCCTCGACTGCAGCCAGAGTCTAGACCAGACCAAAACCCGATTCAGCAAACACGAATATAAGATATTTATGTATATAAGATCCTTTCTTGTTCTTCAATCTCAAATCCCTAGCTTTTCACTCTCCTAAAAAAATAATGCTCGCACTCGTTTAATTCAAAATCAAAATTATAAAAAAATTCCATCTCTGTCTATCCATGGCTCTCCCTCTCGGCAAGTTAACTATTCTCGTTGGTGCAGGTCCGTAAATTTTGTTTGATTTACAGTTCCTAATTTATCTATTAATTTCTTAGCTGATTTCTTTTTTCTCTGAATAAAAATAAAATTCATTTGATTTTGGTCACTAGTTGGCTTGATTTTGTTTTTTAAAAAAAAAAAAAATTGGGATGTTTGGAGCAGTGAGTGAGTTTTGGGTAAACCCTAGATTCGATTTTTTGAGTGTGTGAACAAGTTTTTCGTTAGGTCTACATTTGAAACGCTGTAAAGTGTCTGTGTCTGTGTGTTAATATTATGGAGGGCTCTTGTTAGTGTTAGGGACCTTGAGCACTCGAAATAAAGTTGGGACCGTTTCTTATTTTGGGGCTGTGTTTGCTTTCTTTTGCTCTGTGGTTAATTGCAACATTGGGTTGGTGAGATTCTGAGCTAGTTTGTTTGGTCAAGGGAGTTTGTTTTGTCGCATGGATGTCATTGGTCATGCTTGATCTACTGTGGAGTCACCCAGTTCACTTTAGCTGCTTTAGCTAGAACTCGGTTTCAATTTTGTAGTTATTAAAAGTCATTCTGCTTGTTAATACTAATGAATATTATCGCGTTTGAATAGAATGCAAGTGTTTGGCTTCATTTGGTACCAAAAAATAATAATAATAATAAGACTTGAATCCCTTTTCTTGCCAAGCGGAGTTAAATTACCAGATTAAATAATTCTAGAGTGCCGAGCGAGTTACCAATTGGGTATTTAATTAGAGAAATGTAGTGCCATGAACTGGAATAAGAATTGCCTTCTTTTTTGTGGGCGAAAAAGAAAAAAAAATGAAAATATGTGCTCGTGGGGGCAACAACTTCCATTCTCTAAAATCTAATAACTCTGTTAGCTAGGCCATGTCTTATTTAGTTGGAGAAATATGATGCCAGAATAGGCAGACCGTGGGGAAACACTCACATAGGGTACTTTAGTGACAGGCGATTATTTGAACAGAACAGACTGCACATCACTTTTATTTGTTCCAGATTATTCCTCACCTCTAAACCTATCACAAAAGTCCTGATCAAGCTTTCATAGGAAGCCTGTCCATCCACCTCTCGCCATTATTCCTACCACCTTATTTGCCCCCTTGATGATAGTCAATAAATTTCATCTTTGTTATGCATGTCTAATGCTGCCTTCTATTGTATATTAATCAGACTGCAATAGGAATTTCCATGTGCAAGCTTAGCCTTGATAAGCAAATTTCTCTCCTTTTGTACCTTCAGATGTTTCCTTTTCACCTAAATCAAAGCTGTGCTCCATGGAAATAATTTTCTTGCTAAATTAGTTGTCTTCTGCTTTTTAGGTATTCTTGGTTCAGTTCTTGCGAAAGAGGGGCACTTGCCTGATGTTTCTAGTTTTGTTTCAGGTGCTTTCAAGGTACATATATGACTTATTGTGAGCTCTTAGAAATGCACAAAATTCAATTGATATTTCGGGGTTTATCTTAGTTGATAGTAATGATAGTAGACTTGTTTGCCGTATCTCTATTATTTATGTCTTAACAGGTGCAATATGACCCATTGCATCTTCCTCATTACCTTTAAATTTGTATTTTCTTTAAGTGGGATGCAATGAATTTATTTTTTTTAATCCAATTTCCTGTTTTAACTGGAATTTTTCAGTGTCTATGGCGGAGCGCATTGAAAATTTTGTGCCTTTGTTTTGCATTTACTATTCAGTTTAATCTAATTTCATTTATGATATAATCTTTATCTTTTGTTTAAATGGGGTTTTTATTAATCTAGGACCTTGTTGAATGCAATACAATTTGAATGTTATTGTGATGTTATATACTTGATTATTTGAACTCTGCTATGTATAAAATTTGGTTTAACAATAAAATATCCTGTCCAGTACTTCTTTTTTATACTTTTTACTTGTGTCTTTTAGAAACCTTATGCAATTCAAAATTTAGCGCTAAATTCTTGGCAATTCTTAGTCTGTTTCATACTGATTGCTACTTATTTATCTTTGACCACAGATTGCTCTCAGGCAACTTAAACGAGATGATTCTACTTCATCAGTTAGCAAGTCTAGCAAGCCTCCAAATGACTCTTTGATGGCTCAGGTTTGCTTATCAATTTTATTGTTCTTTATAAGTTCTCGCCTATTCAAATTCAATTTGTAACATTTTTACATGCTTTCATCTTTTAATCCAGTTCAATTGACAATGTTTTTGCTTTTGTGCTTTTTAAAAGATACTCCAGCAATCCAGTCGTAACTGATAGTGTTGTTGGTAATGACTGTGATTGCATTTTAAAGTAACTAAACTAAATCATGTTTAATGTAATTTTGATCAAATAGACTTTTTCTTTCTTTCATTTGTTAGCAGAAGTAAAAGTCTAGAAGTGAGAGAATAAGATGGTGGGTAAGAGTAGAAATGCTCATTTTGCTGTGCTTCCATTTCTGAAAATAATTTGCTTTTTACGCTTATGTTTTCTGACACTTGTTTGGACAACCAAAGAAATATCAGAACAAGTACTCTCTGAATGACTTATTGCGTAGGAACAAAGCTTTTTTTCTTCTTCTTCTTTTTTTTCCTTGTAATTGTATGTACTCATCATTTCAGGAAAATGAATCATCATGTGCTTTAGATTGAAATGTCTGTTAGAGATTGAGAGTCCTAGATTACATGTTTTACAGGTAACCAGCCTTCGACAGGAGCTGCAAATGCTGGCATCAAGTAGACCAGTCACAATTGTAACTGCAAGCGGGACAGGTTTGTTCTGATCCTTCTATTACACATCTGAAATGGGAGACAAGTTATGTTGCATCCATCTAACCACATATCTGTGGACTGGACTGATTAAGATGGAACTCGTGCTCATTATGTTACTTAAAAAACTACAGAAAGCATTGTGATGTTATATACTCCTATTGTATTGTGCAACTTGGATTTTAAGGAATCACAGTCTGCGTCACTTAGTTACCATATTTGCATTGATGCATTTACCACTCCAGTTAAATTTATGTTCTTATGGATATCTTTGTTTTACTCAATCTTTGACCTTTCTTTTTTTAATGCGGCAAATTTACATCACTGAATTGTATTTGATTTCTCATTCCTCAATGGTATGCTTTGACAGTTTCATGTTTTAACCATTGATTGAAGCTGTCTAACTATGTTGTACACCTGTGTGTTGTGAGCATGAGTTTCCATTCCTTGTTTTCTTACTTTTCAATTTCCAATTTTGGGAAATGTAAATCGCTGAACTGTATCCTCAACGATATGCTGTGTTTGTTTCATATTTAACCAACAATCAAATTTGTCTTTGCTGTTATACATCTGGGTGCGTGAGTGCAAGTTTCTATCTCTTTGCAACTTCATCTCTATATTATCTGTTGAGAAATCTTTAGACCATGTTACTTTTTCCTGACATCAAGTGCTTTCCTCCATATAAGCAACAACTTGCTGCTTGCCCATCTTTTCTTATATTCCTACATGCACTTATTTGGGACTGTTCTCTGACACTTTTGTAATGTGCAGGTTCTAATAAATATGGTGTAGTTGTTGTGGTTGTAGTAGTTGGATATGGCTATGTTTGGTGGAAGGTAATGGTTTTCTTTCTTGCTTGATCTTTTGGTGCAATTTCTCTAACCAAACAATATATCATAAGGATCTAATTCATGCTCCTGGTATTACATCATTTAATGGAGTATAATTAGTACTGACAGTAATATTTTAGGTGACATGAAAATATCCTCTTTCCCTTGAGGTTTGAAGTGCTATATAGCCAAATTCTGCAATTGGTTTTAATACTTGAGATTATTATCACTGTACCTCTTGTTGGTATGTCAAGCTCCCTCTTGTTCTTTTGTTTGACTGATGCTCTATTCTTATAATCGTTGTATATCACCAGGGATGGAAACTTCCTGATATGATGTTTGCAACCAGGCGTAGTTTATCTGATGCTTGCACTTCTATAGCCCAACAACTAGAGAGCGTTTATGGGTCCATCCGGGTAACCCTTTGAACTTTTGCATTTGTTTTTCCATCAAATAAAAACAAGAGCTGAAATGTTTAATTTTGCTTATGGACTTTAAAATATAGAGCTTTCTTATCCCAATACATATTCTTTGGGTCTGTAGAGTACTAGGAGGCATTTATCTTCAAAGATCGATGGTGTGGACTCAAATTTGAATGCTGTTGCAGAACTGACAGCCAGTACTCAAGAAAGGGTGGGTCTAACCTAGATATTAGCTAATATGTTAGTGCAGGAGACGTACTGACATAAAAAGTATGTTGGTGCACATGTAGGTTACTGAATTGCGAGAAGATTCAGGTAGGATTGGAAGTGATGTCCGATATGTCCGTGATGCTGTTGAAACACTGGTGATCAATCTTGATACTAATATTTCCTTTTGCTCGTCCAATTTTAAAAATTCATTCTGGATGTGACATGAAAGACTTATTTGATAAATTTTTTTATTTTCTTAGGAACAAAAAATTAGCAGAATTGAAGGGAAGCAGGTAATTATTATATCAGCGTCATATACATTGCTTTCAGAAATGATTTATTTATTCTACCTGTGGGTAACTCCTATCTATTTTGATATGCGTTTAGGATTTGACAACACAAGGAGTAAAGAGGTTGTGTGACTATGCCTCTGGTTTGGAAAACAACTTGCTTGAAGAGAATGTTCAGGCATGTTGTCATCTTTTTGTTTCCTTTTTGCTTTCTCAATACTTTTTTACTCAACTTTACCGTTAACCATACTACACGAATTCTGCAGACTTCAGCATCCAGTTCACGGCTAGCATTCTCTTCGAAGGTAATATTTTTATCCCGTGTTAAAGCATTTGTCTGATAAGACATTGTAAATAAATTAGCTGTTGTTATTGGAGACACCATATCTCTATTTTCAAAAGCTAGATAATACTTTCATTTTCTCTTGCTTTAGGTTATTTGGGATCTGTTTAAGATTGGAATTTGATTATTTTTATTGGACATGCCCAGGCTGAATGATGCTTTTTGTTATCCCAAATCATTAGCCATATGCTTAAAACAGAATTGCTAAAGTGCTTGCTATGTTCCAAATAAGGTTTCTAGTGCCTACCGTGTTCACTAGTTTTTGTTTTGTTATTTACCAGGTCGGGGCATTGCCTGCTCCATCAAGTGAACCATCAACTCCTTCTGCCTCAAATGGATCTCTAGAGGTATGTTTACTTTTGGAAAATTTTGTTTCATCTGCTTGTGGCTGAAATAAATTCTGTGATCTTCAAAGAGAGATTGTTGATCATTTTTCCTACATTACGACATACGTAGTCCATGAATAATCTAATACAGTCATCTTATAAGTTTATAGAACTGCTTTATGACTTTTATTCCATGCTGTGAGCTTGCTTGATGTTCCCTTTTCAGTTAGCGTTTTGTCTTAAACTCTTCCCAGCACTTTTAAAAATATAATTACCTCAACTTCCTATCCTTGATTTTTCCTTTCCCAGGTTCAAAGCTCCCCTCGAAATGCTGCATCAGCCTCAAGCCAGCAGGTTAAGCTTGAATTTCAATTCTCTCTTTATATCCTTATTTTATTTATTTAATTTCTTGACATCTAAATTCTCTAATGAAATGTTTCCAGAGAAGTAATGGGATTTCAGGAGTGGCTGAGGTTGGTAGCAGCCTTGGGATTTCTAATGGTATCCGTACATCAGAAGAAACAACTAATGGAACAAGTTGGTTTAAATCAGCATTTCTTATGAGAACGTTCAGCGCAACAAACAGTGTAGTGCAACAAACAAGTTCAAGTAAACAACAATCGTGATGATATTTTCCGTTGAAAATCATTCTATTTCTGTGCGGTAATTAGTTTTACTCTTCGAGGTCCCACAAGTTGGTTGTTACTGGTGGTACCAGTCTCTCCCTATAAATATAAATACCAGAATGGTGCTGAATTTTGTAGAGATCCTTATGTTGTAAGGTTAATATCATTCTTGATATGTACAATTTAGGTTAGAAATATTAATAGCGGATGTTAGAGGGGGAAAGGGGGAAACAAGGTACGTATTGATACATACCTTTGAGAATTTCTGCATGAAAGTATTATGTCAGATAATAATGGGAGAAGCATCTTCTTCATTTCTTCAAGTTTGGTGGAGATTTTTTTTTACCCCGATGTATTTACGGTTCACATGTATAATTGCAACGGACAGTTTTTGGTTTAAAACTGTTTGGCATTGCATCCCTCATGTCAAGGATTGTAGGCCAGCCCGGATGCCATTTCCAAAAGGAAAATGGTGCATTATCCTGCTTATCTGGTCACTTCTTGTTGGCTTCCTAAATTTGTTTTCAAGATCTCTGGTCAAAAAATGAGGTATCGAACCAGAATTACTAGAACTCAGAAGTGCGTGAAGTGAAGCGGAAATAGAGAACTAGATGCTTTTTTAAAAGAGAACGCTCCCTGTCTTATAGGTTCTTACAGACACACACACACAGATATATGTAGATACACACGCATATATAGAACTAGATGCTTTCTTAAAGGAGAACGCTCCCTGTCTTATAGGTTCTCACAGACAAAACATATATAGATACGCATACGCACAAATATAGAACTAGATGCTTTCTTAAAGGAGAACGCTCCCTATCTTATAGGTTCTCACACACACGCACATATATATAGCTTTTATTAAAAAATTGTAGAATTGAGTATTAAATTTCACTACTATATCCTTTTTTCAGAAATTGAATTTTCATATTTTTTTGTTAAATCATATTTAATTTTAAAGAACAACGTAATTAATTTTTAAAAAACAACGTAATAAACACAAGAAAAATGTATTGAATGAGATAGTGTTTAATGTATTTTCTTAATTTGTTTGAAAAACCTAATAATTATTTTTTTGTGAGATGGAGTAGAACAGGTTTGACAGGGTTACCAGAATGATGGCATATAAGAGACATGGGGACGGTAGAGCAGTTAACAATGAAGCAGATAAAGTGGAAACTGAAGCCATTTTCTGATGCAAATATTAGCTCTAAGTTGCCACACCTGGCAGATTTTCCGAAGAAGAAGAAGATGAATTACGAGCAAGGTTTCTGCTATGTCGTAATGTCGGATCCTATTGGCTACCCAATTAACAAATATTTTCTCATACCTATGCTATATTACTCTAGTATTAACTATTAAAAGTTACTAATGTATATATAAGGAAGATAAAAAAAAAAAAACAATTATTTTTTAGTATGGGTGAAAAACATTGCAGTTAACTTAGATAGATGAGATTCATTGCGATCTATATTTGTCTCATAAAATTAACTTTTTTAAAATTCTCCAAATTAAGTAGTGAGACTCATATCTTTTAACACCTGTTAGCTATCCAATCCAAGACGGTATTACAAAACGCTTTGAGAGGCCGTGACACCCTAAAATTTTTAAAGTCTCTTGATTTTCATCCAGGGCAGTATTATAATATGTTTGCAATTGTAGTTTTTTGATGACCCCCGAGTTAACAATTTCTAATTCCATTCAAGATCTAATCATGTAATCAAATTCATATAAAATCTATATGAAACTAGTAAATATCATTTTACACTACGTCGACTATAAATTAGCCCCTCTAGTTTTGAGAAACCAATTAAGTAGTTTTTTTATAAAAAAATTTAATTATTAAATAATTTTTGTTCATTTTAGGTTTATTTATTATTTTTTAAAATAAAATAATATTAAATTAAATATGATCAACCATGATAAATGAATTTAATAATTAGTTTTTAAAATAAAAAAATAATTAGTTTGCTTCTCAAAATTCAAGGGACTAATTTATAATTAACTTTATTAAAAAAAAACTAAATCAAAACATAAGTTCACCATTCATTGTACTATTTAAAATACTATTCATTCAACCTCATATGCATTGAAAAAACAAAAAGACTCATATGTCTTATTCACACGAGACTTATATGCATTATTTTTTTCACTATATTGTGGCATTTTTGTAGTTTTTAAATATATTTATTATGAAAGTTTTCGTAACATTACATTCTGATTTTTTTTGAAATATTATTTTTTAGTCCGTAAATATTTTTTATTTGATTTTGGTTCTACTTTTTTGTTTCATTTTGATCATTTTGGTCCTTACTTTTTTTCTCTGATTTTTTAATTAATAATTATAAGGAAAAAAGATGTTTAGAAAAAAATTTATAAAATAAGTTTTTAGCTAAAAATGTGGATAGAGATAAATAAATAAGTTTTAATTAAAAATTTATGAAAATATAAAGAATAACTAGTCAAATACAAAATTTTGATAAAAAATGATAAAATTGAATGAATTTTTATTCAATTTTGATCGGATATATTTTAATAAATGGATAATATAATACGAGAAATCAAAATAAAATAATTTCTTAAAAATAATTTTATGTACTTGGTACTATCTGCATCATAGAGTAGGTAAAAAATACTAACAAATACTAAAAGAAATAGAATTTTCACTGTACACACACTTTGCATTTCATCGGTACTCTCACACACATTGGCACTGCTCACATACATCTATTTACATTGTGCATTTTCACTCTTTAGCCCAATAATTTCATTTTGGTCCCTGATGTTTCAAAACAAACTTTTCTTTTTTGTTCATTCAGAGCGGGGGCCTGGTACTCGAATCCCAGCGCGCGGGCTTGGTCATCCGGGACCGTGCCTTTTTTTTTTTTTTAATTTCATTTAATTTATTTACATTAAAGTTTTTTTAAATATATTTTTAAATATTTATGTAACTTTACTAAATTTATTTTTTAAATTTTATTTTTTAAAAAATAGTCTATTAATTTTCGTACAAGTTCATATATTTTAAATGCATTTTCTTGAATTTTGAATTAAAATTTCAATTTAGAGTATTGCCATTTTTATTTAAGAATCAATGGATGAAGTAGAATAAATAATGTATTTCTAAGTATAAAATTTATATTAAACATAAAAAAGAATCATTTAAATAGAAAATTTTGTTTAAAAAGTTTAGTGTTTTTTTCCGAGTTTTTAATCGATATATTTTAATAGACTAGTAACACGTCATGAATTATCAAATTAAAATAATTTTATTTATTTTATCCTTAGCATTGTGAAGATAACCGACTAGAAAACTAACATTCTTAATAAATATATTTTGAATGATATTATTTTTATTACTTAAAATTTATTTCTTAAATTTGTCATTTTTTACAGAGATTGTCATTTAATTAATTGTAATTGTAAATTTTAATTTTATTTGAATTTTAATTATTGATAAATATGGTTTATTGTTCTCTATATATGAATTTTTAAATAAATTTTTAGAATGATATCTTTTTTTAAATTATATAATTTATATACTAGATTCTTAATATTTTGATATGATAATAACATATATACATATATATATTCCGGAGCATTTCTATCAATTTTTTTAAAAATAATTTTTTATTTAAAAATCCATATAATCTATAAAAAAATAAAAAATCCATTGATTTTTTTTTATAGATTATTACAAATTTTTAGTTAATAATTGAATAAATCATTTTCTTTTTATCAAAAAATTTATGAAAAAATATAATCAATAATTAATAAAATACAAAATTTTGATAAAAAGTTATTTTTGTTTTTGGCAAATTCATAATGTAGCATAGAAGTTCGAGCTCAGTATGTTTCAAGAAAAATAAGTTCCGGGAACTTATTTTTCCTATTTTTTCTCATTTTTTGATGTTTGTTTTGCGTTTAGAAAAAAGTCAACCAAATTTGATATGTTATTTTTGGGAAAGTATTTTTTGAGTTAAAAAAAAAAAAAGAGGAAAACATTATCCCTCTCTCTCGCGAGTTGTCTCGCTCTAGCGTAACTCACCTTTCTCTCTATATATTTTAAAAAATTTTAATTCCATTCAAGATCTAATCATGAAATCAAATTTATATAAAATCTATAGAAACTAATGAATATTATTTTACCCTACATCAACCATCTCAAGTACAAGACATAAGACATCAAATACGTGTGTGTGTGTGTGTGTGTGTGTGTGTGTGTGTGTGTGTGTGTGTGTGTGTGTGTGTGTGTGTGTGTGTGTGTGTGTGTGAAGAATAAGTAAATTATAAATTAGCCCCTTTAGTTTTGAGAAACCAATTAATTAGTCTTTTCTGTTTTAAAAATTAATTATTCAATTCTTTTTGTTCATTTTATGTTTTTTTATTTAAAAAAAAAGTAAATAGATATAATGGAAAAATTGAAGAGAAAATTTTTTTAAAAGTAAAATAATATTAAATTAAATAAGATCAACCATGATAAATGAATTTAATAATTGGTTTTTAAAATAAACAATTGAATTAATTTATTTTTTGAAATTAAAGGGACTAATTTATAATTAGCTTTGTAAAAATAAAAAATAAAAGAAGCTTGTTTGTTTATTGTTGCTTCGCATTCAAAGTCATTGTTGTCCGTGGTCGAAGTGCATTGTTTGGGCTTTTTGTTTTGATCCGGGTCTTCCATCGGTGGTCAACCTTTTTTACAATCATCCGATCGGATGAACAATATTGTTGCAGGATGCTTGGTTTCTTTGTTTTTGCCCCTCGCCTTTTTGTTATCTTTTCTTCTGCCATTCTCATTCTTTGAAACACATCATAATTTTTCTTTGTTAAGTTACCTCTCTACCCTTAAACATATCACAAGGCTCCTATCCTTTTGTTTTTCTTGACCTCTTTTTGTCCTTTTCCTTCCCTTTCTTCATTTCCCTTTCTTTCTCGTGATTTATTATTATTATTATTATTGGTCAATCTTGTCTCCTTTCTCTTCACAATCTTTGAGACCTCCTCATTGATTGGTATTGTAAGGGTATGTTTTTTTCCTTTTTCTACTTGTCTCCTCATTAATTAATGGTATAGTATTATACTTTTTTTTCCCTTATTTTTTCTTCTAAGATTTCCCATTATCATCATCTCACGGAGTCGTTTGTTGCAAATGAAGGTCCGAATCATGCCTTTTGGGGACTAGGTTGTTGTGTTTTATTCCTAATTTTGTACGAGAACTTCTATTGTTATCCCATTTGTGTTCCTCCTATTTTGTTTTCAAGTGGGTTTCGTTTCCTCTATAATTGATTGAGATCCACTTGTTATTCATTCTATTCAAAACCAATTAGGAGCATGTTATTCGTTATGTTAAAAAAAATTAGGAGTCTTGCTATATTTCTTATTGCCCACTGTTTCATTTCTTCTTAAAGGTTGTTGGTACTTGGGGGCTCGGGGCGTGATGAGTTATTTTGCTTGAGCATATTTGCTACTACTATACATCCTTCTCCTTCAATTGATTTCTTTACCATTTGGATTTTTTCTTTACCATTTAGATTTTTTCCAACCGAGATAATACTCATTTCTTTTTTCCTCTTTCCTTATTTTTTCTTTTTTGTATGCGGTTATTTATACGTATGTTTTCCTCGGGTGTGCTAGTCTAATCAATGCTTGTTGGTTTGGATATGCCGTATCTTTTTTTACAACTTTGTATCCCATCCTTATATTTATTTTGTTTTTACTTCATTTTTTATCTCTTTCGTAGTTTGCTTTTCTTATAATCAGTTGTATTTTTTGTTTTTTTTTCCTTCCAACTATGTTGCTGTCTGCTTCTCTTGCTATCAAAGGTGGTTCCCTTTCTTTGTTTCTTCTTAAACATTGACCGTGCCTTTATTTGTGTTATGTGATGTTGAATATATATTCTACTTGTTTTTGACTTTATTATTTGTTGATCATTTTCTTCGTTACATGAAACTCTCTCTATGGTTATATTGTGTTTGTTTAAATACTGTATATGTTGTTTATTTTATTTCCAAGATGTTGTGTGTGCTTGTATTTTTTGTTTCATTTATTTTTTTCCTTCAAACCGTATTGTCATTACTTCTATTATTGCTAAAAGTAGTTCCCTTTCTTTGTTTCTTCATTGACGTTGAGGGTGTCTTTGTATGTGTTTTATCGACTGTATTGTTTATTGATCATCTTCTCCCTTACGTTTTTATTCTTATCTTTTTACTTCTTTAGTATTTGTCCGTACTTTTTAAGTGTTATTGGTTTCTAGATTTCGATATGTTCCCGAATCCATAAAAGATTGTGTTGTTTAAATATTAGAAATGTTATTTTTTTCCCCAAAGGCTATGCATCCCTGCATTCTTTGTGTCCGTTTTTTTCTAAGCCGTATCTTATTGTTGCTTCTTTTGCTGGCTTAAATGCTTCATTTTCTTTGTTTCTTCTTTATTTTTGTTTATGTCGAGTTGTTTCTTTTTATGGAATTTATTGTTCATTGATAATTTTTTTGTCGTTTTTTATTGTTTTTTGTATTTCTAATACATCCTTCATCTAAAAAAGACATGAAACTCTCTCTATGTTTTTGTTTTCTTGATTTAAATGCTATGCATGTTTTTTTTTCTGAAGGTTGTGCATACGCGTATGTTATTTAATTTATTTGTAATGTTCTTTAGAAAATCATACATGTTCGATACTTCTTTGGATTTTGTGTTGTTTTGCCTCTTTTCTATTAATTAAGGATTTGGTCTTCTTGCTTTTACCGTTTTTAAGCTATCTAGTTCTATTTTTTTTTTTTAAGAATTGCCTTAATGTTGATGTTTTTTAGACTCGTTAGAGATCGCAATGATCTAGCTCTGTTTGTGTTGAATTTGTCGTGGTTTTGATGCTAGATAGTTTGTTTGTTTTTGCCAAGGATCTTGTGTCCCTTTGTTTTAAAATTTCTTCCATGAGGTGTTTGTTTATGTGTTTGATGTTTATTCTAAGTTCGTATGTTCTTTTTTTCCTATGTTGTTTTTGTTTACTTTCTAATTATTGTCTGTTTCTTTTTGTCGGTGTTGTTGAATTGGGTATTGGTTGTGTATTCGATTCTTAATGTCAGTTGCTTGGTTGGTACAGCTTTTATTTTTATTATGTACTTGTGTTGGTTTTTAGTTTATTTGCATTCGACCAATTTCTCATGTTGTGTATGCTTTCGACTTCCTTTTCTTTGATTTGAATAAAGATTGCACTCTAGATATTTTTCTACAAACTCTGTTTATAATGTTTTTTCTTTCAAGGAATTTTTTCGTTTTCATTTTTTGTAGGTGCGTTGCTATTGATTCATGCATTTTGATTGCTTTGCTCAAACAAACGGACGTGCTTTATTTCAACTTTCTTTGTTGGTCTGTCTTTTCTTTATGCACTATGTTGTTCTGCCTTTTGGTTTTTGTTGTTTTTCTCGATCTATTGCATGATCGTTTTTGCTCCATTCTATATATTATTAGCATTCTATTCAAGATACTTTAGTTATGTTTTTCTTATCATTCATTGAGAAATAAATTAAGTTTTGAAATAAATGCACAATATCCTTCCATCAATATATCATAAACAAAGAAATTAGGATTATTAAGACCTCCCAACCTCTTTTCGATAACATGTTTTCTTTCTCCGACCATTGAGAAAACTAATTACTTTACCATGCTGCATGCCTTCATATGTTAAACATTCCATATTTTAAGTTTTGTTCCCTCTTTGTAACGTTGTTACTCTCTAGAAAATCATTAGAGCGGGAAGATCTATTATTGCAAATTATTTCTTCTTAACGGGATAAATAAATGTATTATGGGTATGTGGCTCTTTAAGGAATGCTAAATTTCTTGTTATGGTCTTAACTAGCCCAAAAATACCCACGGACGATTAACAAGATGGATAAATACGGAGCAAGCACAAAAAATAAGCTATGAAGTATGAAAAACCAAATGACAAACTACACCATACAGATTTTCAATTCTTGAATTTCGAAACCATACCTATAAAAACAGACTTCTCTCTCTCTCTCTCTCTCTCTCTCTCTCTCTCTTGTTTCTTCTATTATGGCTTACTATTGTGATTTTCATTTGATTGGAATTATTTAGATTGAGTTGTAATTGTTTTCATAAATTGTCTTGAAATGCTTTTTTTTTCATCCGTAGCAAGCATCATGCCTTTTTTTGCTCCTCATTTTTCCATGAGCCATAACAAAATTCCAATTACTTTTACAATTTATTGACACCTAACTACATTGACAATTTTATCGTATATTTTCAACAGAGAACCAAACTTCAAAGTTGACTATTAATTGTATATCCATAACAACCCACACTAAGTGTGTGTCTTTTACTTACTCATTAACTTAGTTAAGTAAGTCATTCTTGTACCTACCATTCAGCTCGGATTAAGCAAGAAGCTCGTTGTACCATTCATCTCCGGAATAGGATAAAAAATGATAACAACTAACTTTTTGGTTGAAATATTATAGTTATAGTGTTTGTTAGGTGGGCCTCTAAATGTGACGGATAGATTAGGTCTTTATATATATTTGCTACATCTAAAATAACCTTATCACCAAAACTCGCATCTCTCTCTTGCCTCCTCCATCTAAAAACAAACAACTAAAGGCATAAATAATAAACAACTATCTTAGTGCTCAAACAAACGAAGGTATTGTTGGCATTTTATTATTTTTCCTTTTTAGTCTTATATTAAAACTTGTATTTTTTTCCTATCTAATTCATCCACACTCCCACCTATGTTTGACAGTTCTAATCATGTATAGCATGACACTATATAATGAAAACGGATCAACCATTGAGCATCGGCTCCAACCATCGATCGACAATGTTGAGATTTTCATATATCTATATAAGTTTCAATATATATGTGTGTGTGTGTGTGTGTGTGCAATTGTTTTTAAATAGATAATTTGTTACACAATTAAGGCCCCAATAGTCTATATCGACGTAAGTTTTGGTTGATGGTATACTAGGTGCCCAAGTGTGTCATTGCCCAACTTATAGATCACCAAACATCTACTCATGCAAATTCTACGATATACTTAATAAGAATTCCAAAGTGAATTATTTTTAGCGTCATTAATGAACTACTTCCTTTATAATTACAATATTTTTACCATTTTTTGTATAATGGCATATAGAAAGACATTACATATTCTCTTGTATTAGTTTAGTCCGTTTTTTTTTTTTTTTATCTTTTGTTTTTTAGATGTAACATTACTTGCATCATTCAAAATCAAATGTCCGAAGCAAGACCGTTTCTCATCGAAAAAATAGCTACATCATATTTTGGATACGCATGTAAAAAGTCGGTGTTGGACTTTGGTTATGATGACAATAACGTGGTCCCGCGACAATTGCTAGACGCCATTAATCGGCTAAAGATTTTTCGAATTCGACGTAACTTTTTCCCTAGCAGATTCATTAGGCTACCACTTCATTGCAACTTATGTCTTTAATGCCACCAATGTAGCAACATAAATATCCTATCGACCTCATCAAATCCAATTACGATTGAACGCAAAAGCTGTTGTAATTCCATGCATGCAATTTCTATAACATTGTGGATGTTTCGTTTGCTTATTATAAACCTACAAAAGACCGCAAACTAACATTAGAAATAAAAAAATGTTAAATAATATTTACAAAAAAAATAAAAAAACCACTATAAACAAATAACAAATTCACTTAACAAATACATTTATTTTACATTAATCATAAAAAACAAGCTTTTTTTCTCACATCGCACCATACAAATCACAAACTATACATATGTTACGATACCCACCAAGTAAATACTAAAAGAAATGGAGTTTTCACTGTACATAAACTTTGCATTTCGCTAGTACTCTCACACACATTGCCATTGTTCACATACATCTATTTACATTGTGCGTTTTCACTCTTTGGCCAAATAATTTCATTTTGGTCCCTGATGTTTCAAAAAAATCTTTTCTTTTTGTTGATTCTAGGCAGGGGCCTAGTCCTCCAATCCCAGTGCGTGGGCTTGGTCCTCCTGGCCCAAGCCTATTGTTTTAATTTCATTTTATTTATTTACATTAAAGATTAATTTATCAAAAATTTCAACAATATATTTTAAAATATTTATGTAGCTTTACTTGATTTATTTTTTAAAAAAGTCTACCATATATATATATATATATATATATATATATACTAGAGAATTTCTATCATATTTTTTTAAAATGATTTTCTAATCTAAAAATCCATGAATTTTTAGATTTTTTTTTATAGATCATTATAAATTTTTAGTTAATAATCAAATAAATATGAATAAATCATTTTCTTTTTATCAAAAAATTTATGAAAAAATATAATAAATAATTAATCAAACACAAAATTTTGATTAAAAAATAATTTTGATTTTTGGCTAATTCACAGTGTAGCATAGAATTTCAAATTGAAATGAATTTCCATGTGATGTCTGATGCGCCGCTTAAAAACTTTACTCTGTATAAAGAACGTCACACAAGCACTTGCAGAAAAAGTTGGGGCTCAATGTCCCTGGAGTGGACCACGAGTTAACACGCCCTTAGTCTAAGTTGAGTTGCATTGAATATAAAAACTCGTTTCCCGCCTGAAGTCCTCCTTTGGCGCGCTAATAGAGAGAGAGAGAGATAGAACAAAAGAAAGGGAAAATGATTTTTTTTTTAAGAAAAAAAAACAGAGAAAGAAAAATCACTATCAGAAATACAGAAACTCCACTACTCTACTAGTACTATTACTCTCTTCCCTTACAAACAGAGTGAATTTCTAGTGAGAAAAAAATGGAGATAGTTAAACCTCAATGGAGGAAGCCTCCTCTATCTTCAAACGACGCCGTTTCAACACTCCCTCTCTACCGCTCCGCCCCTTCTCTCGAAGTCAGACTCGAAGATTTCGAGCTCTACGCCATCGATCGCCTTCGCGGTAAGGCTTTATACACGCGCGCGCGCACACACACACACACACACCCCTTAATTAACTAACTAATTAATCTCTTAATTTTCTTTATTATTCACCCCCAATTTTCCAATTTCTAGGGTTCCCATACACAGGTATATGAGATCAACGAAATTATCTCTTGTTTGCAGTTTTAAAAGGAATATCTGATGGACTTTCTCGGGGAAAGAGACAGGAAGAAATGGAGAAATTAGTAAAAGATTTGTGGAAAGCAAATATGAGGCATCCACTTGCATTAGAAGTTACTAACAAAGATATTATATCTCACTTTGTTTTGCGTCTCGTATATTGTAGAACGTAAGCTTGCTTAATTATATCTTTTGTTTTTCATTATGTAAAGGTAATTTATGTAATTTCACCAAATTTTGTGATTATTGTTGGTGTGTTTGTTAGGGAGGAGCTGAGGAAATGGTTCCTTGCCAATGAGACTGCGCTTTTTAGATACAGGTTTTGGCTTCTATCCACTGAAGCTCAGGTGAGATTCATCCTTTCATTAGTTCATTAACTTAATTAATTTAATTAGTTTCGTAGTGTTGGATGCTGATTGGTTTGTGATTTTGAGTTTTCAGAGGGCTCTTATGGCGGAGTTTGATCTTCCATACAAGCCTGTTACTACTGCAGAATTTGAGGTTATTTAGTTAACATGATGCCAATGCATTTTAATTTTCTGTCACACTCTTGTATTGTGCAAACTTTTCAAAAAATATATTTTAGGTTTTGGGGTTATTTTGACCTATTTTATTTAACAGGATGTAAAAGACAAATTGCAACTAGTTGCACGCTCAATTGTTCAGCCTAAACCCACTGGTAAGAGCAGATTGGTTGCTTCTTTCATTTTAATTTTTCCCTCTCTATTTATCTGAGCAGTAAGCAACCATTTCATATTTTAAATGACTGCGGGTCGCTGCATATGTGTTCTGTTCCGATTGTAATTCTGTTAGTTGCATCCGTGAATCATTGCCTAGTTGGGAAATGGACTGTTTTGAGATGTATATATATATTAAGTTGTTTGAAATTAGTGTTTCTTCTTAATACTTGAGAGTTAGACATAGCTCTGATAATGATGACATTTTATTACACAGTCAAAAGCTAAAATAGTTTATGCATGGGAGTAATTTCTGTCACATTCATTTACTTAATGGGATTCGGTGTTCATCACCTTTTTTCTGCAATAGCACTATTAATCGGTGTTGAAAAGACCCAAATCTGTGTCAGTAATTTTTCAGCTTCTTCTTCTTCTTCTTCTTCTTCTTGCAGTATCTGATGCCATATTCTACAAGGTTTGTTTGTTTACCTCTGCTTGATTACCATATTCCATCCACACAAGAACTGTAGTCTTAGCCATTATGAACTGAAGGTACCATTTGAAGAAGTTCCAGAACTTGTGGCTGGTCGTAGAGTTTTCATCTGCAAGGGGTATGCTTATGTTGCTCTGAATCAGGTAGAGTCAATTCTTGTTTCAATTATTGCATTCAACCTTGATACTGAATATCAACAATCTGTTAATGTATGTCTACTTTCATTTTCTAGGTTGTTTCCCTTCTTGTTACCCAATTCCGTGGTCTTCTATCCAAAGCACTTGTTCTAACAAACAGGTGGTTGTTTCTCTATGGTTGATGTTGCAAAAGCCCCCTTTTTCCATGTCTGCACAATACATGCCATCTACTTGCTTTTATAAATGGTGTTTGCTTTCATTAACGTTGAAGTTCTTACAAAAAATGTTTATTGTTTGCAGAAAATGGACATCTACCATCAGAGAACAAGAGAAGGATCGCCTAACTCCCGTGAGTATTGAATGATGAACATTTTAAATTACTATTTTTATTTTTTTAAATGCAGTGCTTCTTGTGTAATTTTGGTGCCTTTTAGATCGTGGAGGCACTGTGCACAAGCTATCTGGGTCCTGACTATTCTCAGGTTATTACTTATCTTGTATAAACTCGTTTCTGTTACCTTTAGATCACATGGTCAAGTTAATCATGAAGAATTGGGTTGACATCCTTTGTAGCCAAAAGAATTTGCTGAAATATCAATTAAAGACCTGGACCAAGTAGCTAAGAGTTCATTTCCCCTGTGCATGCGGCACCTGTTTGAAAAGGTAAGAAATTCTGATTATTCAAACAAGCTTTTTACCGATCCTTTTTCAAGTTGGTATATTTTATCTTTGTTTTCTCTTCCCCTGCTCTTCTTTTTCTTCCTGCATAAATTTGCTAGTTTTCAACAGTGTCTTCACAGTTTCCTTTCATTTGTTTGTTTACTTTTCCATGAATGTTTGTGCAGCTCAGAGAAGATCATCACTTAAAGCATGGAGGGAGGATGCAATTGGGTCTCTTTCTCAAGGTTGTATTGTCTTTCTCATGTCTCATTAAATTTGTGCACATTGGCTGATTTAGTGTCATTACTCATTCTTCCAGATCTTCCTACATTCTATCCCCTTCTTATTTTGGTTCTTCCCTCTTCAGTTACTTGCACAATTTGCTGTAGACAATCTACCTTCTGGCTCCGTTCCTGTTTCTTATCTATATCTGACAAAGAGCTCTATAGCAGTCGTTGAAATGTTCTCCTTAGCCTTTTTGCTATACTTGAAAATTGGTTAAGCGTTTCCTTTATCTGCATTTTAGGGTGTTGGATTGAAATTGGATGATGCTCTTGCATTCTGGAAAGCAGAGTTCTCCCGAAAGGTTAGTAGCTCAGTATAAGCTACATGAATATGTGCAAAATTGTGGTTCTTTTTAACTACCCATTTCTTATAGCTGTTGCTATTTGTGCATTCTTAGAATTGTTAACTGCATGTGTTGGGATGTTGCGTTTTATGATAAATTAGCAAAAGGAGGGCAGATGTGTAGTAATCTCTTTCTGTATTCAGCATTTCCTGGCAATATGCAATTTCAACGTGCCATATTCTTTGCATGGTGTCTTGGTGCATGGAAATCAAATACTAATCTATAATTTTCCTCATCTTTATATCTTTTTTTCTTTCTTTTGTAGACTGGAGCTGAGAGGTTTGACAAAGAATATGCATACGGCATTCGCCACAATTATGGAAGAGAAGGGAAGAGAACAGTAAGATGTCTAACTCATCTCCATTATGTAGTATTTAGATGCTGTATGCGTCATTGTTGTCATTGTAGACCAGTTAGAATGAGTTTATGCATTAGATTACAATTAAGAAGAAAGATGAAATGAATATTATTCTGAAATTGTGTAGCTTAAGAATTTGATTTCCTGATTGATATAATTCTTGGTGAATTGACCTTTTGTCTCTTTTAGTTCTTTTGGAACTTGGTGTTCATTCCCCTACATGCATGTTCATTTGTCTGTGTATCGTGATTCACCTAAAAAAAAGAAATTCATTTTCTTTGGTTGCAGGACTATACTCCTTATTCTTGTCAAAAAATAATCTCATCAACTCCTGGTGTTGGAGATCATCATGGTTGTCCCTATCGACATTTTAGGTCATTTCTCTTACTAATGTGATGTTTCTGATGACATGAGACTGGATAAATGCAAAATAATAATTGGACTCCACAAGGGTTTAGTTTCTGTAAAGTCTCAGTTGCTTCAATGAACCTAAAAACTATTTTGCTTGACTTTGCTTTTAATACGAAGAGTATTTCATAATCCAGGAATTCTACATTGATTACTCAACTCCTGAAACTTATAGTCAATGCTTATTAAAATTTATATGTTTTCATTTACTGCCTGATTTGCGAGATTTTCTTGATTCAACATGATAATTTTGACTTTGATTTTGGTATTTATGTTTAAGCTGTGTTAATGGTTATGACAGTGAGGAAAACTTGAAGGCTGCACTCAGTAGAATGGGAGTAAATAGTGGTGCAGTGGAAACTGTAATGGACAAAGTTCAAAACAGACATTATCAGGTTATCAGATTACCAGGTTCTGATTTTCCTCCACAGGTCCTTTATTATCTTTTTTAAACGTGAGATTCACATGAATAACATTGTCTGCAGTTGGCTTGCACGTTAACTTTTGAAGCTATTCATGGCTTGTCACATGATGCTGGGATTAACCATCCTAACCAATACTTCAGTGACAGCCAAAAGATTCTCAAATCTAAGGTATATGCTGATATGTTTTATGAACTTTGATTCCATTTAGGTCTCATAATGTGAAGTTTGACAAATGCACAGAGTTGTTTTGGCGAGGATATGATGTTGAAATTCCACCTTAAAGAAACTAGGAACCAGCCATTAATGGGTCCAAGCAATATGTTGTCATGTATATGATAATGCATTGCCCTGTTTGAATTATGGAAAACTGACGTTATTATCATCATTACTCTTATCCATTGAATGGGTCATGTCTCAGTCTTAAAGCTTAAAAAAGTTTGATCTATAATTTTCTTTTCGATGGTCAGAAATAAAAACAGTTAGAGATTATGCAGTAGCCATTCTAACAACTTATGTACATGTCCTTGGAAGATTTTTGTGATCCTGCTTTGCCCCACTCTGATTGGAATGGGCTATTCAATGGAATTTAGTATTTGTTCCACTCAAGTTACAGTATGTTGGAGTGGTCTTTGGCACTATCAAACCTACTCTTATGTTCATTACTCTGTTTTGTTCTTGCCTTAGAAGTTGGCTTCAAGCCTTGTCACTTGAGCCATGCTTTGAAGTTTCTCGGCCCCTCAAATATCAAGTCTAGGGGTCTTAGTTCACCAATTAAAGAAATCTAGATGCCTTCTACAACTTTATTATATGAAAGAAGGGGAAAACTAAATCTTTAACGTGTGTCTTGCAGAACAATTCCTCCGGGCAAGGAGAACCTTTGGGCGACAGATAGTTCACTAATATAGGTCTATCATTTTCTGGACCTCGATAGCCTCTTCATCGTAAGTTTTCATTATATGTACTGTTGTGTTAATCATACGAGGAATGCTAATTTATTGAGCGAATAGTGAATTTAAACTGATTTGTATATTCTATTATCCAGATTTCTTGACCAACAACAGCCTGACATTCCTCTTTACTTTCTTAGAGTAAAAGATGCAAACTTGTCCCCTGTGACTAAAGCTGCTCTGTTTGTCTTATTGTTGCATGGAATGCCCCACTAATTCCAAACATGCAAACGTTGGGTTCTGTATGTCAAGGCCGATGCAAGGAAAAGATGGTGGATTTCAATTTAGCTAATTTTAATGTGTCTCCTTCCTTCTCAAGAACTGACCAATTGGATATCAACAGCGCCAAAGATGTAGGCCCTCCATTTTCCATCGTAAGTGTCTTGTTGTCAGAATTTGGCGAGTGAAAGATGATGTTTGGAACTCAAGCCAGCTCTTGTTGGTTGATAATAGCACGCTATTCGCTTGGGTGTATTTTGGGTTATTGCGTTGCCAACATTAGTTGACTTGATTGGGGGTTTGTTGTTAGCAGGTCTAGGTCTGCCCAATCGTTAAGAAAAGCTTTCTATACGTTAGTAACTGACATCTCCTCGTAGAAAATATGCCCATATCGAAAAGCTAGAACTAAGAAAAACCATTTTCATGAACAATGTCTCCTTTTTTTCTTTTTTTTTGGTCATAAGGGAAGCATAGGACATCTTATGACCCTTTTCTATTTCTGATGTCAAAATTAAGTTCATCCTAATGAAGATAACTCGTCAATTTCATTGCTTTACATTTTTTTTTTATGTTTCCTGTTCTAATGAGAGCTTTGGAGCATGAGATCGCTTGTATGTACATGTGCCCCGCCGAAGGTGCAGACTGTTTTCATTGTTTGTTTATGCATTATTAGGTAAACTGTGACTTCTACAGACCATATGAATATATAATAAAAACACAAACATTGATGGGGATTCTACATGGGTGGTTGAGAATTTATCTTCGGGTTATAGCAGATATCCTGGCTGCTCCATGTATGCTAGACTCGGTCCTCCTCCAAACGTGAATTTAAAACTCAAACAGATTTCCAGATTTTCGTTCTTCTCACCCGGCGTTGAAATATCCTTTATGATTTGCCCAAGACGGACATAAAATAAGCATAAAAAAGAATGTGCTAAGCTATTAGTATAAATTTTTCTTTATGCATTTAAATTAATTTCTTTAGTTTGTCGTGCTGAAAACAGAAAATCCCACTACTTGGTCGCTATGGTTCTCTTATAAAAAATTGGGTAAATTATTTGATTCTACGAGGTTCTTGGGGTATTCAAATTTCATCGCAAAAGTTATTATTATTATTTTCAATCAGCTTTCGCAACTTTCATTGTTAATTTCTACTCCTTCCTCTTTGTCTATATTTGTCCATTTCCACAAGATACAACTTACATCAATAGAAAATTTATGTAAATTTTAATTTCATCCTTAAAAATTTATTAAACATTGAGTAAAAAGTTAAAACAAATAAATTAAAATTAACAAAAATAATAATATACAATCAATAAAAAAATCTTTTAGTAAAATAAATATAATAAAATTTGAGAGAGAGAGTTTCTTAAAAAATCTCAAATTCAATCAATTTTGATTTTTCAATATCTTTTTTTTTTTTATTACCTATGTTACGTTTAAATGAAAATCGAGATATAAATTAATCTAACTCTTTCACTTAATTGTTCCGTCAAAATCTTTTATCATTCTCATTCCTCTCGTAGATTCCTTAACTATCAAGTCATATTATTTCTTTGATCATGTGTCAAAGAGCACTTAATCGAAGTAAAATCTTCGATCACATCATCCCCAATGCCTACTCAAACTCTAACCTCGCTACCTAATTTTCTCATGTCAAGACTCGTCTCGCTATTTCTTCAATAATTTCTATTGTATTCTTTGTGTATTATTGTTGACAAATCAAAATTTAACATCATACATTGATTAAATACGATATCTTCTTATGACAAAAACAATGAAACATAAGTGAAAGGATACGTTTTGGTTTCATAAACTAATCAATTTTCGACGAAACCTTAAGTCCGTAATGAAACGATGTATTTGGTCTTATAACAAACTAAGTCATTTCGACGAAGCCTTTAAAACTTTAATGAAACAATTTATTTGGTCTTGTCACCATTAAGGTTTTGACGGAGCCTTAAGTTCTTAATGAAACGATACGTTTGGTTTTATAACCGACCAAGTTTCAATGAAGCCTTAAGTCCCGAGCGAAATGATGCGTTTAATAATATAACTAGCTAGGTTTCAACGAAATCATAAGATTTAAATAAAACGATGTGTTTGGTAATATAACCAGCTAGGTTTCAACGAAATCATAAGATTTAAATAAAACGATGTGTTTGGTAATATAACCAGCTAGGTTTTAACGAAATCTTATGATTTAAATAAAACAAATCATTTCGACGAAGCCTTAAAACTTTAATAAAACAATGTGTTTGGTCCGATCACTATCCGAGGTTTTGACGGAGCCTTAAGTCCTTAATGAAACAATGCGTTTGGTCTTATAACTAGCCAAGTTTTGATGAAGCCTTAAGTCTTGAGTGAAACAATGTGTTTGATACTATAACCGACTAGGCTTTAATGAAATCATAAGATTTAAATAAAACGATGTGTTTGGTTCGACAATCGGGTAGTTTCAACGAAGGCAATATGCATGAAGAAAATAAAGAGATGGTTACTAAATAACTCGTTCGCATTTAAATTTAAATAAAAGGCGAGTTGTCAATCAAGAGCTATTTGAAGAAAAAGGACCAACAAAATCACATATGATCAACAACACAAAACTTCTTATACAAGCTTATTAAATTCCCTTAGTTTATCCCGTAATGATTAGTTCCTACTTTCTTACAAGTAGTGTATTAGTCTTTTACTGCTTTCGGTAATCTTATCTTTGTAACTTAGGAAGCGTTGATTTTTCGGAATGGCGTCGAACATTTCGATAGCTAATGATGTAAGTGTCATATCTTTCGATTTATGATATTTACATTCCTTTAATAATTTTGTCTTTTTCGATTGATAAAATTCTATTTACTTTATTGCTTGCTCTTTAAATTAAATACCCATGGAATGTTTTAATGGTTTGTTGGGTGAAGTCGAACCCTATAACATTTCATCACAAAGAACTTAATCAAAAATTAAAACATCGATATACTCCGCTTTAAGATTAAATTTAAGGAGCAACAATAAGTTTTGGCAACCACGAGTAGGAGAGAAATATCAAAACGGGGTACTACTGTAAGTATGACGAGACGTTGACTCTCCGAAGGGGACCAAATCTACAAAAAACTTCCTGTTTCGTTGAAGGAATGGTTCAAATTTTTGAAAATTACCCCGTAATGGAAACCATGAAAAATTGCAGCCGTAGGGAAACCAAGATTAATAACAACGTAGAACTTGAAAATATAATTGACAAAGGAAAATTCGATAATCAAAACAGATTGGGTGTTAGATGTTAAGAACATGTGGGTTTAAGTAGAAGTGATGGTTCTAAAAACCGAAAACATGATGTCAAAAAACAAGTACTCGAAGAAAATTGTTGAATTTTGACAAATGGTGGTTAATCGGACTAAAGAATTGCTAAAAATGATATATGATCCATCTTGGGAGATAGGTAGTCGGATAAATTGACACATAAAGTTAGTGTCGAATCAACATAAAGAGGATATCAACAAGATAAAGTCTTCCACAATCGAATCATTAAAGAAAGTAATAAAAATATAGCTAACCGTATTGTCAAATTAACGAATTATATACGTTATCACAACAACATAGCGATTACAAATGTAAATCATCTATTTAATGAAACTCTTATTCCATTAGCTAGTTAAGTGGCTAAGGAAGTGGAGATTGCTATCGAATCGAGATTTGAGATGACTGCAAGCGTCATTTGAATGATAAGAGAAGATGTTCGACGACTTGTAATTTTAGAAGAAAGGAAAGGGAAAAAACCAATCGAAGAAAGAAATTTTGACATTAATAGGGAAATAAGGTCATCAACGATCGGGTTGACTAAAGTTTTTTTTAAGGTATTTGCCTTTTGCTCCTAATAAGCCATTTGATAATAAAAATGCTCATGATGTGCCACAAAACACTTATGGACATGCTCACTATAGCTAACCTAATGGCTATTCATCCTAGGCACCGCCTCGTAAGTATGTCGATACAACCGATACCTCCATATTATGGTCTTCCTCCAAACCTACCTCTAAAGAAAACAATAAATTTCCCACTATAGAATGTGCCAACTATGACGACGAAGGAAATGGTGCGACATCATATCCTATCATTAGAAATACACTTGGAGAGTTGAACTAAGAGATTTTGGCTAACATGATTGAGAGGATGTATGGATCGCGAATGTAAACGATCAATCGTCCGATTTATCGAAAGCCATACCCGGATTATGTTGACGAGAAAATATCCATTCTTTAGAGATTTTTAATCTCCCGAATTTACTTAATTTTTTGGCGAAGATAATGTTTCGGCTTGGAACACGTTGCTAGATTCACTTTTCGGTATGGGGAACTATCGGGAGATGATTTCTTGAAGCTACGACTCTTTTCTAGTTCTTTAATTGTTGCAGCATTCACTTCGTACATCAATCCGTTACCAAATTCCATCTTCACCTAGTGGGATGTACAAAACGGATTCCAAGCTTAGTTTTCAAGAACGAGACCTTGAAATTTTAATAGTAGACCTAGCAAGGTTAGGACAGCTTTTAGGAGAATTTATAGAGCGAGTTTCTTTCAAGGTTCACAAAAGTTAGAGTTCGATGTCAAGTTAATTTACCCGAAAGAAAATTTTTACATTTTGCACGAGATAGTTTAGATTTTAAACTTAGAAAGAAATTTGAGGGTATGGTGTTTCAAGATCATTATGAACTGATAGAAAGAACATCAAGGTTTGAAACAATTTCACATGAAGAATCACTCGTGAAAAAACACCATAGTGAGAACTTATTATCAAGATTCCATAATAGTTGATGTGGATTTTGTAGAGTATGTCAAAGAAAAGCCAATAGTCTATAAACAAGTTGGCTCGAAAAAATATACAAACTCCTATAAGTTTTAAATCAAAAGAAGATCAAAAATATTCTTTCGATCTTGATAAAACATATTTGATCTTTCATTGGCTTTTAGCCAACAATAGGATCAATCTTAAAGGAAAACATAAATTCCCAACTTTAGAAGAGTTGAAAAAAGAAAAATTCCGTAAATGGCACAAGTGCTTCTATCCCATTCAACTAACAATTACATCATATTTAGGGATTTAATTCAAGACTTAATGTATTAAAAGAATTAACGTTTCTTGATAAAGAAGAAATTATGAAAGTTGATAATAATCTTTTTCCTAAAATTGTCAAATTTTTAACTATTGACGTGTTTGACTTTTCCGATTTACAAGACCAAACTTGCTTGTGTTGAAAGCCACCAAAGTGGCCAACCGAGTTTTCAATTATTGGTCAATGGAGGAGTCCTTCCGATCGTCAAACCATCCATTTTCCTTAAGGAAGG